ACTACACCAAAGGGTAATGAAATTAATCTCACAAAGTTTTGCTGGCTACCAGCGGTCTTGCACATAAGTAGCCCGTGACCCACCAACACGTTAGATTAACACAAAATATCATCAACAACAAGTAAATGTGAGTCCCACTACGTTTATTTTCATTACCTTTCTAATTTCATGTACACTATGTTGACTCACTATTAATTTTATTTCATTGCTCACTGCTATATTTACAACTACTATATTCTAACATTTTCCGCATACTTTGATAAATATTTGTCTGGCATTATGACTTCCGAAATGTTTGTAATTTGCTTTAAACACGCAATTTATTCTGTGGTCATCTGAAGCACGCTTTATACTCCTCATCCAAAGTCCATAATTTGTAAATGCGTGATAAGCTTGTAAAATAGTATTCATAGAAAACGTATATTCTCATGCGATATAGAACATATAACGTCGTGTGAGACATACCATTTTCTTAAAGAGTAAACCCAAATGAGCCTCATGTCAGAAAAACGTTAGATTGATGTTACTGACCAGCAAGTATTGGTAGTGAGGGCGATGACTTAAATCCAAACACGTTTGAGTGGCAAATGGTCTTTTAGGTTCATAGGTCTTTCAAGGCCACATCTAATACTGAGCGCCCTTTAAATTTGCTTTATAACAATTATAAACGTAAAAAGTTGTATTGTATAATTAACTAGCAAGACCAGAATTCTAACACAATAATGCCGGGTTTGGGGCGTAATGGTTGAAACGGGAATGCGATTCCACTTTTAAAAGAGATTATAAACCCTGCACTCAGTCAATACTAAAACATAGATCCAAAGATTAACTCTGTAGGACACCCACACTAATGTACTGACTTGTTTTTATTGGCTTCATTGATTTAACTACCCCACGTGGCATGCATACTGTAAGCAAACTAATCTTATATTACATGTTACACTGGAGTACATGTGATAACCACATCAGCTAGTTTCTGTTCAAAATAATTTTATGACAAATCAGTCCTCCGAATTTTCCAATCTCCTAAGGTTATACATCGACAACTTGATGACGCAGTGTTGAAACCGTCTATCAAAACATCTCTCACCTCACAATTTGCACTTCTGTGGATCAAATTAATCAGCAACTCTTATCCTTTCTTTTTTTTTGAGTGGCAAATGACTAATTAGTATGTTTCAGCTTCTCGAAATGTGTTTATAGTGACCTACTTTTATGACGAGAACGCGATTGGTATAATGGAATTAATAATTATTATAACTAGTTGTACCAGTGTTTGCATTACTAAACTTGTTTGTTTAAGTGTACCAAGGATACATTTCCTTCCGTTGTCTGTGACCTTGCACTAACTCGAGTACGCCCGGTAGTTCCCCTCGTAAACTTTAGCATTCCTTCGATACCACGAGATAGCCGACAAATATATCTGATTTGGACCATTAACAGCCTTCTGGTTTTTGGCTTACCGAGGGACCGAACTCGATGTCTGACACGTAGTCTTCTTGTGGTGACGATCATAGTCAGTTGCGACTCGACGCCATCTACATTTCATCGATAATGGCGGATGGGATAGTATTTCTGAAGAATAGAGCTACTCTTCCATAGTCCTGAGTTATATGTGCTCCTACTAATGTGAAACTCTCGAAATCTTGTTCCCTACTGTCAACATGCTGTGTTAGCCCAGTATCTCTGACAGTGATTATACCAGGATTGATAGTGTCTGTCTGTACATCTAGCTTCTATCGCCTGTTGCTTAAGCTCCAAAAAGTTTTGTCACACATCCGAAGACCATTTATATGTTTTCCTGCCGCACACAAATTGGCTTCAGCATCATTCCCTTTCTTAGCCTCATCACCGAAAAGTTACAGTTTGAAGGTACTTCTGACCAGCATCTTACCTTAGTTTTGAATTATTTCACCTTCTCATCTTTTTATATGGTCTGCAAGAGGCAAGTTTTCATTGTGAGAAACTTCTTACCTCTTTAGTTCATGTCCATTCTGTAATATTAAGTCCCTTACATTGAGATTGAAGTACTATTTTGAGAAGCCTGGTTTGATCCTGTTTCAAGTCTATTTGGCTACCTAGTCACTAAAAATTTAGCAGGGTGACTGCAGAAATATCTTGAGGCATTGGCTGGTATGATAGATATTTTTTGATCAACACAATCTCGTGCTCAAACAGAGTTATGGGTTCTGAGCTCCCACTCTCCTTGACTCGACAAAGCACATGACCTGTCAATTTTATCAGCATTCAATTTCCAAACTACTGTTCGGAGAACTGGGTTTTCTTTGGTAACACTATCGTTTTTTGCCATTGATTTATACCTTTTTGTCAACCTCTATCAGAGTAGTGATCACAGTCGGGCTACACACTATAAGAATCTGGATGATTGTCGAGGGTGATTAGGTTGATGTTTTTTCATCTAGAAACAGACCTAGGTTTTCTAGACACTTCGTGCTTGCTACCATTTGGAGGGTGAGAGACAGAAGAACCTCTATTTCTTAAGCTTATATTCCTAACAGACTTTTTCGATGTCGGTCCTTCCTTCTCTGGCCTATGTAAGTCAGTTGAATCTAAGCTTATTTGAAGTAACTTCACTTCGATTTGTGAATCGGACGGGTCGTGCCATTTAATGTGTCTCGATTACGCTTGCTTAACCAAACAGTTTGAAAATCGCTAGCGTTAGATTCGTGAAAACGTCGTGGTGCCATCTCTTGCACTCATGGCACCCTGACTTTTGACAGGATCAACCATATATGTCTTGTCAGTAAACCCAAACGGTTAGATATCAAATCACGTTTAATTGATTGACTCACTTCATATCTAAAAATCGACATTTTAAGGTCAGGGTTAACTTCACTTTCTCTCAGTCTATGGAATGTCCTAGTGGGGTCCTCCAAAGTTCAATACTAGGACCTCTTCTTTCTTTGATTTATATAAACGACTGTCCAAGACAAATATCATCAGCTTTAGTACATTTCGCTGATGATGTAAAACTCTGAAGAGAAGTACGTAACCAAGAGGATAAGTTGGCACTTCAGGGGGATCTGACTGTGCTTCAAAGTTGGGCAGATGAAAACGGACTTACCTTTAACACTTCAAAGTGTAAAGTAGTTCATCTGAGATATATCTCAGCCTACAGCTTCAACTTAGGCAACTGACCTCTAGAGGTGTCTCAAGAGTGTTAGTACCCTATGATTTGGAGTCTTACGCTAACTGCGGCAAAAATGCCTTTCGAGTAAACCACACACTAGTAATATTGAAACGTGAAGATACAACTGCTATTCTAACTTGACAACTAGCTACCAGCAGCACCTTCTATATTGGAACCGTTTCCCCACCAGTTGAAATCAGATGTCGGACGAGAAGAGGTGGGAAAGATATATTTGATACGTTATCAATATATCGAGAAACGTTTATTCTGATCTGACTAGCAAACGTAGGAGCTGTATCCCACGGATGCATGATCGAAAGCCTTCAGTTAAACAAGTCCACTTAAACAATGTGGTCAGCATCCAATGTCGAGCACTTAAAGAGCTATTGATTTTGTGGAATTATTTACAGCTACAAGCACACTTCTGGCCAGATTGACAGTAGAACTTTCCACATAATCTTCATTGCTTTTATTTATCTCCATTTTGAGTACGGAAACATAGAACTTCCTTACTCACTCCAAAAGGATAGGAATACTCTGGAACATCACCAACGCGAAGTCACGAAATCAGTTCGGAGATTGTAATTCAAACCTTAAGAAGAGCACCTTCAATCACTGAAACTTTACCTATTAAAGTACAAGAAACTTAGAGGTGGCCTAATGGCTTGCAGCATCCTAAATACTTCTGGACATTCCCTTAAACACCTACTTAAGTTTAGCTTCAACACAAATCTAAGGGGTAACACACATGAACTAGAGACAACACAGCTGAACGAAAAGTAGATACACTTTCTACTCCGTAAGAGTAGTCAAATGCTGGAATCCCCTTCCGGATGAGCTAGTTCAAACGATTTCTCAGGAATCCTTTAAGAGAAAACTTGACATATTCTTAAGGACTAAGGATCGTATCTTAGTATGATTTACTAGTTTCTTTTCTTCTTTTTCCCTTTTTGTCGATAATATGCCCAGGTTCCTGCCTCGAGGTAGTAGTGATCCACTGCTACTAGATACGGAAGCCTGTTAAACGAAAGCTTCTTCTATTCCGTCCAAAACCATTTGTACCACTGCATGCCACTTTCCCCAGAGTATTGATGATGCAACGGATATTCTAGTTTTACAACTAGCTACCAGTAGCACCTCCTATATTTGATCGTTCCCAGTCAGATAGAAAATCAGAAGTCAAACGAGAAGAGGCAGGAAAGATATATTTGATTCGTTACCAATATATCGAGGACCTTTTCTATGAGCTGGCTAATGAAACGTAGGAGCTGTGTCCCACGCAGTATTGAAACGTGATCTGGTGCGGATGCATGACCGAAAGCCTTCAGCTAAACAAGTCCACTTAAACAACGTGGTCAGCATCCAATGTCGAACACTTAATGAGCTATTGATTTTGGGGAATTATTTACAGCTACAGATCACTCCCCCCCTAGTGAGGTAGTGATGCCCCTAAGACGTGACCAGCCAGAAGTTTAAACCCAACGAATTTGTCGTTGGTAAACACTCTTCTGATAGCTTGCTTCGTTTAGCAGCGTCTGGTCGTCTTTCCTTAAACTATGGGACCAAAATGTACAACGTAGCAAATAAAGAAATATAGTACAATGAAAATTTCTGTTCCTTGCGAAACTTCGTCGTTCTTTTCCAGCCGTCCTGGAAAAGAGGAAAAATAAAACGTGTGAGTGCATGTCAAAAATACACTCGTACTTGCGTAAGGACACAAGATGAGCGGAAAAAAATAAACTGATACACTTACAAACAGCGTGGTCAGCATCCAATGTCGAACACTCAATGAGCTATTGATTTTGGGGAATTATTTACAGCTACAGTATCAATAGCCTAGGCGTTGGCAACTACTTTTTTGAACTGTCCAGTCATTAACCGGATGTTTTCAAAAGAAAATCGACACAAACAATACCTAGAAACGAAAAGATGATCGAAAAAAGACATACGACTGAAAACTGTTAGATTCGAAAGTGTAAGCAAAGTTCAAGAAAATCAATGAACTCAAAAAATACAAACGGCAAGTTATTTACGAGAAATCGAAACTTTTAGTGACTACTTTGAATGGATTACACGCAACGAAGATGAAAACAGAAGTCTTGATGCGTAACAAACGATTATAACAATGAAATTAACTCAGCAAGTAAAAATAGCACTTTCGTTTTAAAATGGCGCGTGTTGATCACCTCTATACTGGCTTGAGAAGCAAAGCGAGGTTGAATGCCACCTAAACTTATTTTAATCTTCCGACGTTTGTGCAATCTATCAACGACTTTGTAAAATATCTTGATTCTGAATATCAGGTTGAATAGTCTGATTTCGAACTGGTTTTGATTTTAGAATCCAATCTTTATGATGTCTAAGGGAATAACGTTGTGTGGCCAACAAATTGCTCAAGGTATAACTACACTAATTTTGTGCTCAACATTTCAGCTGTTGGTCAAAAAATTATATCAGATGTGGCTTATTTGAAATCAAACTTCAACATTTCTCCCAAATTGGTCGTTGTTGAAGTAAGTTTCCCTAGTCTTTTATCGTTTTAGTCTCCTCAATGCGTTTTCTAGCTTATAATTTCTAGTTTTAATTTAACAAATGCCTACAACACATTAGCTACTTTCGTAACTGCATGCACTGCAACTGTTGATATCACATGCTTGAGTTCATGCTACCGCCATCTGCAAATCGTCAACAAATTACTGGTTTAGTACTGTTCCTTTAAAACCCTACAAATTGGTTACATTAAAGTCTTTTACATGTATAATTAACCTCTGGATTCGTTTGCGGCTGTCACATATAAAATATAATTTTATACATGCTGTTCTCCTGCCTTGAGTAACATTTTCTCTACTTATTAACTATAAAAGTGTTTCTCGTGGAATTACTTGGATAAACATAACTATCGTGTTTTTCCAGTGTTTATATTACTTTATTGATGCTTCAAAGTTTAACCCTACGGTCGATGTATTTGGATTGTAAGTAAATCTAGTTTCTTGTTAAATGATTTGATGCTACAACCACTTTTTTCATCTACAGTTAGTGTTATTACTTAAGTTTAATCATTCACTCTGTTTTCGAGGTAAGGATCCCAGTTTCCAACTACTAGAAATAATTATAATAGTTGTTAAACCAGACCCCACTGCATTTATCATATATTGTGTCCTTACAACTCATAGTTTTAGTTTTTTATTGTTCGATCGAATGAGCTAGTTCAAAAGCGTCAATCTCATGGTAACCAATTTGTGGTTCTTCATTTCCTATCATGCAAGTTTATGTTTCTAAGCAATAGCTTATGTTTACTCTTAAAGCTGAGATGTTCGTACATCGCAAACCCTTAATTCGTTGATTGCCGTTTACGAAAATTAGATCTGAAACTCAAAAAGACTTGTTTATGTCAAGCCAATTGCATAAAAATTTTTTTCAGGGTGTGTCGAATACTTAATAAATGATCACTTATGAATGTTTTATGACATTTCGTTTTCGAGCCTCTGTTGTGCGGCAACGTTGTCAGGTTACTGAAAGCCTATATTTCCATGACGTTCTAATTCTCCAGTATTTTGTCACTAATGCTGAACTTCTTTTGCAAGGTTTAATCAATGTAAAAAGCTGTTTATTGTGCGTCAGTTTTTCCCAAAACAATTGCTCATTTTTAAAGATTAGTTAGTCTCTGATTAATGGCCTGGTAAGCAAAAACAATCCTCATGTTCTTTCTAACGAGAAAATACTGTTTCATCTTTTCATTTTTGACTCACCATGTTTCATTCCTGTGATTTGTCTTTTTATTCCATATCATGTTTTTATATGTAGGTTGGTAATCTACCTCAGTCAAAGTTGTACATAGAGCAAAAATTCAAATTTGCAAAGAAGTATGGCATACTTTTGTCTCACATGCGATTTCCATCACATATTCCTGAGTCAGTGGTGAGATAAATTAATAAAGTTGATGACAATAAAGCTTTTAGATTATGTTTATAAGTTGAATTCTGATTCATCAGTGCACGGTATCACTTTACAAGTAAGTTGTTTATCTGTGATTCCAATGGTTACTTAAACCAACAATAAAAAGTAAGATTGTTTAGCTCATTGACCACTTAGCTTATATTGAAAGTCTCATCAGCCATATTGGGTTAGTGTTCAACGAGATCTCGGTTCAGATTCAGAAAGCTTGCTTGGATTTTGCCACCTTATTTTACCTATGGTGTGGACGAAATAATCACTTAACCAACAGATGAGCATACTGCTTAACACTTTTCCCTTTTGATTTCTGGTTATGACGCTTGGACCATAAGGGGAGAGTATAAGACTATTGTTACTGAATCAGAGATATTCCTGAATCATTGTTCTTACGTGTTGAAACAACCGAGTAAACATTGCTGAGGTTAGGCTCAGAGTATTAAGTAAAGATAGTGAGTTGGTTGATGTTATTGTAAGTCTTTATCGAATAAGGCGTTTGGGACGTGCTTTTCGTGTCCTCGACTACTACTTACCCCAATGCTCTATGTTGGCTGACATGAAAGTAGAAGACTATGAGCGACCAAACTAAAACATGACATCAGTGTTTTAAGCCATTGACTACTGGTCTCAGCCATGTTAGTAGGTTCAAGTTACTGGTGGGACCTGCGCAATTGTTCCTGCAATAACTATCGGGGGATAAGTCTACTTTCGATTGCGTCCAAACTATTGGCTTCTGTCATTCTTCGTAGGTTGTTCAAAACCCGAGAACGATTGACTCGCGAGGAGCAGGCTGGTTTTCGTTCTGGTCGAGGATGCATTGATCACATCTTCACCCTCCGCCAAATGTTAGAACACCGTCATACTTATCGCAGGCCAACAATCGTAGTGTTTCTTGATATCAGGGCTGCCTTCGATTCGTTGGACAGGACTGTTCTCTGGGATTGTCTATTGAAGAAGGGTGTGCCTGAGAAGTTCATTAACATCTTAAAGACCCTGTATACGAACACCTCAGGCAGAGTGAGGGCATACAACCACCTTTCTCCCTTGTTCCATTCGAGCAGTGGGGTTAGGCAGGGTTGCCCGATCTCACCATTCCTCTTCAACTTTGCCATCGACGACATCCTGGAAACAGCTCTGGTGGATGTAAGTAATGGCGGTGTGGATCTGTTGCCTGGAGAACGACTTCTCGACCTTGAGTATGCGGATGATATTGTCTTACTGTGCGATAATGCCCAAGGCATGCAATCCGCACTTAATCAGTTGGCAATCAGTGTCCTCAGGTACGGCATGTGCTTTGCACCCTCCAAGTGCAAAGTACTCCTACAAGACTGGCAGGATTCTAATCCTGTACTCACCCTGGATGGTGAGGAGATCGAAGTAGTTGAGAAGTTCGTGTATCTAGGTAGCTATATAAGTGCTGGTGGTGGCGTGAGTGATGAGATTGATGCACGTATAATGAAAGCCAGAGCGGCTTATGCTAATCTGGGCCATCTTTGGCGCCTTCGTGATGTTAGCCTGGCTGTAAAAGGTCGGATCTACAACGCGTCGGTGAGAGCAGTTTTGCTCTATGCTTGTGAAACCTGGCCTCCGAGTTGAGGATGTTAGACGTCTCTCTGTGTTCGATCATCGTTGTCTCCGAAGGATTGCTGACATCCAGTGGCAACACCATGTTAGTAATGCAGAGGTTCGGCATCGTGTGTTCGGGCGCAGAGACGATAATTCAATTGGTGTCACCATCTTGAAATACCGACTTCGGTGGCTTGGACATGTTTTACGAAAGTCGTCCCAGAGACTTCCACGTCGTGCATTATTTGCCGACCCTGGGACTGGTTGGAAAAAGCGGAGAGGAGGTCAGTGTATGACATGGTGTCGTGGCATGAATTTATTTATTTATTTAAACACATATATATTGGTACAAAAGGGCACCAGGTACATATGCGCCATACAAAATAATGAAAGTAGAAAGAGAAGGGATGAAAAGATAAGGCGGGCTGAAATATACAACCAGAAGACTCTTTCAGTTAGGAAAGTTAGAACCATTCTTTATGTAGAAAGTAAAAGAAGGTTGCAGCAGGATCGCCACTGGCTTCTATTTTCAGCCATATCTGATAACGTCTCTAGCCACTGTGTTGCACTATCTCTCGGACCCCAACCAGGGAGTCGTGAAGGACCAACGGAAACTAGCCCTTTGCAGCTCTCTTTCATGCCACTACGTGGTTTCAGAAAGACTGCTTCAGTATTCATTATCGGTGGAAGCATTCACTTTCAACCAGACAGTGACTGGAGATCGTTTAGATAGGACAGATTTTCCACCATGGGCGAGCTGCTGCATAAGTTGAAAAGTAAGGTTACACAAATTGGGGATAAAAGGGGGTGAGATAGCGATATGGTAAATAATAATAATAATAATAATAATAATAATAATAATAATAATAATAATAAAGGTAATAATAATAATGTTAATTGTCTTGCTTTTAGTATGAGCAGGGATATTATCGTCAATAGAGTTCATCATTTCATTCATTTGTGTGTGGGCTGTGATACTGCCCGGGTGCCCAAACCGAAGCAGGTGGTTTTCTTAGGGGACCACACCCCGAGCCTTTGACCTAAAGGTCTGATCCACAAGGCAGTGGAGCATCGTGAGGAGATGCAGTCCCATGGTAGCCGTTGACCAATGATAGGTTCTTCCGCCATTCGTTCCATCAGGATACTGGAGCCCATGTGCACCATTGGTTTGGAATCAGGGTTTTCCAACTCCCCTAGGTGGACCCTTCGTGTCCACCAATCCGGTTATAGCGCCGGACATTCGCTTTTCGTCCTCTCACTTTCGTAAACAACACCCCCGCCACGAGAAGGCAGTGAGTAGGACTTCCCTGGCAGAGGCTATATATTCGCTGGCCATGTGAGAGCATTTCGAGAGGGAGAGTAGACTCTCCCCACTCTCGGCCGTACCAGGGCATTTGGGGGCCGTGGCATGAAAGAGAGCTGCAAAGGGCTAGTTTCCGTTGGTCCTTCACGACTCCCTGGTTGGGGTCCGAGAGATAGTGCAACACAGTGGCTAGAGACGTTATCAGATATGGCTGAAAATAGAAGCCAGTGGCGATCCTGCTGCAACCTTCTTTTACTTTCTACATAAAGAATGGTTCTAACTTTCCTAACTGAAAGAGTCTTCTGGTTGTACATTTCAGCCCGCCTTATCTTTTCATCCCTTCTCTTCCTACTTTCATTATTTTGTGTGGCGCATATGTACCTGGTGCCCTTTTGTACCAATATATAGTTGTGTTTAAATAAAATAAAAAATAAAATAATCGTAACCATGAGTTCGAGACTGGGTAACGTGGTCCAAAAGTGATCTCAACATCACAGATTCATTTATTTTTTGTCTTTCTTTACATCTTTAGTTTCAGAATTATTTTACCCATTTTATCCCACGAGTTAATTTTTTCTCTAATCATATTGTCTATGCTACTTTTTTTTCACTATCACCGATACTGCTGCTACTTCCGTGTTCACCTGTGTGTGTGTGGACATGGATGGAGTCAGTCAGCTACAACTTAGGACTAGGCACATATATGCATCGGTGCATAGGTGCACATACTTGCCAGATTACAAATTTTCTATCTGACCGATTGATCATATACGACTTTTGTGACATTTCCAATTTATTGGCGGATATTTTAGCTTAGGTTTTGTTAGGTTTTGGTGACTTAAGTACTGGTATTTGGAGTTTCCATGTACTGACGTGTTAGCTTTAATTTAGCCTTCCTCTTCAATATAGCTTCTCCACTAAACTCAAAACTTTTTCCAACAAAAAATCAACTTCTAGGATTATTCATCTCATCGTAAGTTGCCTGTATTTGACGAACCTTTCGAAACAGTGCTATGATAAAGTACTTCTTCAGTGTTGCTTGTTTTGCCATAAACCAAACCAGTGTATAGCGTTGAAAGATGTTTGGGAGATAATATTTAATGCAAACTAATCAATGAACCATATTACAAAAACAACCGTTCAGTGGTTAACTGTGCGAGCAAAATAATAAAACTTTTTGTTCAAGCACTTACATTTTCTGTAACTCTATGTACCGACTTATTATTCAAGAGAAAAATTTACGTTGTCTCACCAAATTCAGTCAACATAATAAGTTTGAATGACTATGAACTAAGTGTATTTGTAGATGAATTATCCCCAAACGTATTAGTTAATTACCTATTTGTGACTGCTGTTTAAGTTATGGTATTCTACTGGGTATAAATGTATACTTTCACTGTTGTCATTCGGTTTCGTCTTACAGAAAAACTAATGCATTCAAAGATATTTAGCCGTAAATTTTAAAAAAAATATTGCTCACACGAAGATACTGTAATCTACCCAAAGTGTAAAAAATTAAAAAACTCTGTTACATATAGTGTAGTGTCATCAACGTCTTGAGTGAGTCTAAAAATATCTCGCACACGAAATTTGATAAAAATAAGATAATTGATCTACATTTTACTCAAAGTTAGAAGATAAAGTACATGAAGACTTGAAAAGTTGAACCAACCTTAGTGAGGTAGTGACGGATGAAATTTCAGCGTAAATAAGAATTATTTATTTTTATTTATTTAAACACATAAATATTGGTACAAAAAAGCACCAGATAAATATGCGCCTCACAAATCTCATTCGATTTGTGTGAGGGCTGTGATACTGCTCAGGTGCCCAAACTGAAGCAGGTGGTTTTCTTAGGGGGCCACACCCGGAGCCTTTGACTTAAAGGTCTAGTCCACAAGACAGTGAAGCATCGTGAGGAGATGCAGTCCCATGGTAGCCGGTGACCAACAGTTGGTTCATATGCCATTTGTTCGATCAGGATACTGGAGCTCATATGCACCATTGGTTTGGAATGAGGGTTTTCCAACTCCCTTAGGTGGATTCTCCACATCCACCAACCCGGTTAAAGCGCGGGACATTTGCTTTTCGTCCTCTCAATTTCGTAAACAACAGTATTGCCATGAGAAGGCAGTGAGTAGGACTTCCCTGACAGAGGCTATATATTCGCGTGGCCATATGAGAGCATTTCGAGATGGAGAGCAGACTCTCCCCACTCTTGGCCGTACCAGGGCATTTGGGGGCGCGTAAATAAGAAAGGCCTATCTAACTGTGTGTATCTAGTAGATGTCCTAGATCGTTGATGTACCACAAGCACTTCAAAATATGTCTTCAAAACAATCGTATGTTCTGAAACTACTAAGTCAGTAATGTTAAGCTTATGAGTAAGTTGTATACATGTCTCGTAAGTCAATGGGTATTGCGAAGTTGTATAGATCATATGTTGAAAATCCCAAATCATTGTCCACCCTAATGTCCTGTTGACTTAAAGAGATTTAGATTAGAAGTTGCTAAGGGTAATGATAGAAAAGCACTAGATTGTTGTGTAGGAAGGTGTGTTGTAAATGGGGTTCCTGTTTAATAGTATGTATCTTAGCGCTTTGTTATACTTATCCTTATTCTGCAATAATAAAACTTGGGGTCCCTTAAGTGACGTGAGCCAATGACGTAGGCGTATGCATTCTGTGTTATTTAAATCCTGATCATTTTTATATTATTTACTTTTCGTTTTTGACTCTTGTTCTTACTTTTCGGTATACTTCCATGCCTGCGTATATTATCTGTTTACTCTGTTATGAACTGTGAACCTATATATTTTTATGTGTATATTAAGCATCAGGCGTGTTTCATCCTGTGTTCTATTGACTGGTGGGACTTCCTCTTTCCAAAAAGGGATAGAACTTTTAACAATATATACATTTACTAATGACAAGCTTTACTAGAGAAGTTTTCCAAGCATAAAAATAGTATCTTAATATAGAAGTTATTCATTTTTGGTTGATCGCAATTCACTAGACCAGTCATCACATAGCCATTAGGAAATAATTTGTCCATTTGTGATCTATTGAAGTATTTTTATGTTAAGGGCGTTTAAATTTTAATCACAAACAAATCTAGTGGACTAAATTGATCATTGCAATTGTGTTTACACTTCATTTCTATGTTTCTTTCCTTTTTTGAAGTTGCCGTTTGATTCCGATTCAAATATTAATGTTACTAATCCATTAAATGCTGTTGCTACTCTCAAGGATGTTGAGGGGTACGTTACCTATTTATGAAATTACTCTTTTTGTATGCCGTTAAGTTTTTTCTGCTAGTTTCTTTTTCTCAATAACCGGGCATGGTGTTTAGCGTCAGTTGGGTTTAGATTTGTCCAGAACTTTAACTGGGAAGGTGGACACAGTGAGTTCACCTAGGGGAGTTGAGAAATCTTGCTTCCGAACTGATGGTGCACATGGGCTCCGGTGCTCTGAGGGAACAAATCGCGTATGAACCAATTGTTGATCACCGGCTACCATGAGACTGAATTTCCTCACGTTGCTCCTTTAGGTCGAAAGCTCTGGGTGTGGCCCCCTAAGAAAACCACCTGCTTCGGTCTGGGCACCCGAGTAGCATCACAGCCCAAACACAAACCAAGTGACTTGTGTGGCCCATATGTATTTGGTGCCCCTTTGTACCAATATTTATGTGTTCAAATAAATAAATAAATCTTCTGAACATTTTGCAAACTAGCTTTGTGTAATTAAATGGGTTATCATTATTTGTTTAACACTGAAAAGATGATGTATTATCCTTGTTATTGGAACTATCCCTTATTGTTTACTATGTGGTAATGTTTGTAGTTTCCTGTTGTTGATATTAAGGGATGAGTTTGGTCAATCGTTGTTGTAGCATGGACTCCCTAAAATGGATTTCTTTATTTAAAATCTAATGGTACTTTAAAAACTATCAAGCAACAGGATTTTGGACTCACATTTCACCCTGTTAAGCATCATCAGTTGTATGTAATTCCATTTGTCGTAAGACCTCATTTGCCGTCAAAGAACAGTAAAATTCCGTTTGGAATATTAACAAAAATAAGATCCAAACCTTTGAAATCGCTAACAATACTGTGCTTACTCAGCTTTTTATGTAATGGAATGAGTGCGTTGTTGATAAGTCTTCATTTGCGATGAAATTATAATCTCTGTCCCAGGTTTCATAAACTTAGCTTTTAGGGAATATAAACTAAAACGAAAGTAGGATTTAGAAGTATCTTAGTACAATTAGTCAAGACGGAATATACGTAAGTACCACCTCGTGATAATCAATAAGTAGGTGTAGGATAATTTATTATTAATTACGTGGATCGATTACCACGTTATTATTAGTATTCAAAAAAGTCAGCATCTAGATATGAAGCAAGGTAATCATAATATTCCTTTATGTCCCCATAACAAATTTTCAATTTTTCAATGCAGAGTCTGCGATTGTTATTTCAGAACCTCAACCTGATAATATGTAGACAAAATTTGCTCATTTTTCAGTGGTTCTCCAGTTACTTTTTTGAGTGAGAATGTGAAATCGATCAGGTATCTACGTACTTCTTCGCCAAGTCGCCTTTTTGTGGTATATTTCGAATGAATAACATGACGATTAAAGTCAGTTAGTCACAACGTAGAACTTCGTACGTACGTACATCAGTTCGGGTTGCCATACCACATTAGCACAGAGATGCAGTTGTCGATTCAAATCCCATAGTTATAGAGGTAGTAAAAGTATAAGCAGTAATCGGAAAGATTACAGTTTGAGGATGTTATTCAAGGATTATGATCCAGTGAAATAAATTTGGAAAGAGAAAAAAGATAGAGACATGAAGAATTCAGAAGATTAGAATTCGGCAGAACACAAAGAGTGGATTCACCTTCGCCATTGCAAACGATTTTGAGCCATGTCATTCAAGGTCTCTAACCATCGGTTGCTATCATCTCGCGGATCCCAACCAGGTAGTCTACACCTACCAACATGGCCCAATCCACTTGTCAGCGACTCCATAGATTTGTGCCACGTTTTGGTCTGGCCGCCCCTAGCTTTCTTCCAACCTACTCGTACACCATACAACATTGCACATCGGGGCAGTCGGTGGTTGGGCATACGTAACACGTGTCACAGCCATCTCAACTGATGAAGTTTCACTACTTCATCAATCGATTTGCCATCCTCACCTAGTACCCGTTTCCTAACATCTGGTTATTGCTTTTTAACACATCAGAATTATATATACTTGAAATCATGAGTCAACTGAAGCTATACCACCATGGAAAACCTGGAAGCACTGGACGGCCGTTTCGACCTATTGTGAGACTCCTCAGCAGTGCGCATGCACGATCCCGCCTCACGAGATTCGAACCCGGGACCGAACAGTCTCACGCCAGAGCACTTAACCGATAGACCACTGAACCGGCATCCAACGGTGTTAATGTCTAACTGCAATCAATCCACGAAGTTTATCAACCATTTCACCAATGTCTTCAGTGAGTTGATATCTCTACAACAGACCTGGTTGAACTCCACTGGTTACTGCTTCTCACTAGAACTCCAGGAAATATCGCTTGAAGTCAGTCACTAGTGACCATATGATCACATCAGAATTATAATGATAAATATAATGTAGACTTTCAAATTATTAACATTATTCTTTCTACTTCATAATATAAAGTATTGTATTACATTTTATTAAACTATTAAACTACATTGTAATGAGAGAAAAAAAAATATATCTAACCACTCATTATTTGTATCCATAGTATACCAAAATTATTTTTCTCTGATATAGATGATAAACGTATTGAAATACTAACTATAAATAGTATATAATCTAGTTATTCAAATGTGATAAGTTAATGGTTCCGAAATTTCATTATTAAACAATATTTGTCAGTTTTAAAAGGGTCACAGGATATCGGATATTTGTTTTTATCAATCTGATACATGTATTTGAATTAAGAATTTCGTAGATATTTCAATATTGTATGTCATTTATATTGAATTAACACATTCTAGATAGATATAGATAGATAGATAGATGTAGATAACGGTAGATAGATCAGTCAGTCAATACGTATAACTTCGTACGTACGTATACCACTTCGAGTTGCCATACCACATTAGCACAGAGATATAAGTGTCGATTCAAATCCCATAGTATTAGAAGTAGCAAGAGAACAAGCAGTAATCGGAAAGATTAGGGTTTGAAGATGTTATTGAAGGAGTATAATCGAGTGAAATGAAATCTGGAAAGAAAAAAATGATAGAGACATGAAAAATTCAGAAGATTAGAATTTGGTAGAACACAAAGAGTGGATGCACCTCCGTCATTGCAAACGATTTTGAGTCATGTCATTCACGGTCTCTAACTATCGATTGCTATCATCTCGCGAATCCCAACAAGGTAATCTACACCTACCAACATGGCCCAGTCCATTTGTCAGTGACTTCATGGATTTGTGCCACGTTTTGGTCTGGCCGCCCCTAGCTTTCTTCCAACCTACTCGTACACCATACAACATTGCACATCGGGGCAGTTGGTGGTTGGGCATACGTAACACGTGTCACAGCCATCTCAACTGATGAAGTTTCACTACTTCATCAATCGATTTGCCATCCTCACCTAGTACCCGTTTCCTAACATCTGGTTATTGCTTTTTAACACATCAGAATTATATATACTTGAAATCATGAGTCAACTGAAGCTATACCACCATGGAAAACCTGGAAGCACTGGACGGCCGTTTCGACCTATTGTGAGACTCCTCAGCAGTGCGCATGCACGATCCCGCCTCACGAGATTCGAACCCGGGACCGAACAGTCTCACGCCAGAGCACTTAACCGATAGACCACTGAACCGGCATCCAACGGTGTTAATGTCTAACTGCAATCAATCCACGAAGTTTATCAACCATTTCACCAATGTCTTCAGTGAGTTGATATCTCTACAACAGACCTGGTTGAACTCCACTGGTTACTGCTTCTCACTAGAACTCCAGGAAATATCGCTTGAAGTCAGTCACTAGTGACCATATGATCACATCAGAATTATAATGATAAATATAATGTAGACTTTCAAATTATTAACATTATTCTTTCTACTTCATAATATAAAGTATTGTATTACATTTTATTAAACTATTAAACTACATTGTAATGAGAGAAAAAAAAATATATCTAACCACTCATTATTTGTATCCATAGTATACCAAAATTATTTTTCTCTGATATAGATGATAAACGTATTGAAATACTAACTATAAATAGTATATAATCTAGTTATTCAAATGTGATAAGTTAATGGTTCCGAAATTTCATTATTAAACAATATTTGTCAGTTTTAAAAGGGTCACAGGATATCGGATATTTGTTTTTATCAATCTGATACATGTATTTGAATTAAGAATTTCGTAGATATTTCAATATTGTATGTCATTTATATTGAATTAACACATTCTAGATAGATATAGATAGATAGATAGATGTAGATAACGGTAGATAGATCAGTCAGTCAATACGTATAACTTCGTACGTACGTATACCACTTCGAGTTGCCATACCACATTAGCACAGAGATATAAGTGTCGATTCAAATCCCATAGTATTAGAAGTAGCAAGAGAACAAGCAGTAATCGGAAAGATTAGGGTTTGAAGATGTTATTGAAGGAGTATAATCGAGTGAAATGAAATCTGGAAAGAAAAAAATGATAGAGACATGAAAAATTCAGAAGATTAGAATTTGGTAGAACACAAAGAGTGGATGCACCTCCGTCATTGCAAACGATTTTGAGTCATGTCATTCACGGTCTCTAACTATCGATTGCTATCATCTCGCGAATCCCAACAAGGTAATCTACACCTACCAACATGGCCCAGTCCATTTGTCAGTGACTTCATGGATTTGTGCCACGTTTTGGTCTGGCCGCCCCTAGCTTTCTTCCAACCTACTCGTACACCATACAACATTGCACATCGGGGCAGTCGGTGGTTGGGCATACGTAACACGTGTCACAGCCATCTCAACTGATGAAGTTTCACTACTTCATCAATCGATTTGCCATCCTCACCTAGTACCCGTTTCCTAACATCTGCATTACTTACCCGATGGTCCCAGGATATACGAGCAATACTTCGGAGATACCTTTGATCGAATACTAGTAGCCTACGAATATCCTCTACTCTTACCGGCCATGTTTCACTGCCATAAAGTAAGACAAAACGAACTGCTGTGCAGTAAACCCGTTTTTTGATTGCTAGACAGATATCTCGCCTACGCCATGAATGACGCAAGTTGGCGAAAGCTAGACGAACCTTCTCTATCCGTGCTGAGATTTCGTCAAACACCAGACCACAAGGGCTGATGAGACTCCCAAGTTAAGTGAAGCGGTCAGCGCTCTCATCTACTTCACTCTCTATCATTAGTTCAAGTGTCGATGCAACCCAATCCTGAAGTAACATTTTGCATTTCGAAGGAGAGAATCGCATCCCGAACATACCTGCATTGTTGCTTATAGTGGTCAGAAGACTTTGCATTTTGTCAGCGTCTTCACCAAATAGAATTATGTCATCGGCGTATACTAAGTCAACAAATGAATCTCCCGGTAAAAGTTCAACTCCAGGAGATTTAGATGATGAAAGTGTTATTTCTAAAAGCACGTCTACGATAAAGTTGAACAAGAATGGAGAGAGTGGACAGCCCTGACGAACACCACTTTAGGTTATCAATTCTGATGACAGTTCTCCATAGACTCTAACTCGACCAGTTGTGTTCGAGTTGAGAGCCTTGATGAGGCTAATGTACTTTGGTACTCCTTTCAGTGACAAACACTGCCATAGAACCTCACAATCAACTGAGTTTAATGCCTCCTTAAGGTCGAGAAATACTACGATTGTAGGGCGTTTGAATGTGTGTCTATGTTCTAGGACATGACGTAGGGTGATTATCTGGTCTATACAACCACTTCCAGGTCGAAAACCAGCCTGGTTTTCTTCTAGTCTACTTTTCACAAGCTTTGGTTAAGCAACGAAGTATTATTAAAGCTAATATTTTAGACACTATATTAGTCAAACTGATCCCTCTGTGATTGTCACAAGAGGACTTTTGTCCTTTCTTATAGACTGGCACAATCAGTGATTGGGATCAGTCAGATGGGATTAAGTCTAGTTCCCAGATTCTACCTAAGACCTCAGTCAATCTCGCTGCTAGTACTGGACCACCATCCTTAAAAATGTCAGGAGTAAACCTGTCAGGGCCTGCTCCTCTGCCTCGCTTCAGATTTCCTATAGCTTTTTCAACCTCGTAAAGAGTTGAAGGACTTACATCAATTCGCCACTCAGGACGACTGGGGATCGTGGGAAACAGAAGTGTAGCTGAAGGCCAATTGAACTGATCCCTAAAGTGTTCTGTCCATCGATCCAATCTCCTGGATTGAGAATGGATAATATATCCATTTTTTTTCCGAGATAATTCCGCTGACAGTTGGGTTCCTAATACCGGTTTCTTTATCAAGTCTGAACAGTTGTATGCTGTTGCCTATTGCTACTGCCTTTTCCATCTCTCTTGCTTTCGCTACCCACCACTGTTCGCGATCATTGCGCAGGCTTCTTGTTAACATGCGCTTAAGCTTACTCCCCTCTTCATTATGTTCAGAGCCAGATGGGATGAGTTTCTGAGCATCTATCAGTGCAGTAGATGCTGCTGAGATCCATTGTTTATCCCTAACATTATGGTTTACCGTACTAGCAGATATCACTGCTGTTTCCACAGCTTTTCTGATGTCATTCCACGCTGGCTCGGGTTGTGCACAACTTACATAGCTGCCTAACTGTTTTTCTAGTTGTTCCGGAAATATATTCTTAGCTTGCCTGTCATTAAGTAGAACCGTTAGAGGCTTCCCTGCAGTGTCTTTCCTACGTCCAGTGAGAGACAGATTGGTACGTGCTCGCATTAGAGCATAATCTGAATCTAAACATGCGCTCCAGAATAAGCGACAGTCTTCTATTAAGCCCCTCCATCGGTAACTGATAGCGATGTGATCTAGTCGGGTCCAACGTTGGGGTAAATTAGGGGGTTGCCACGTCAAAAGATGTTTTTCCTTGTTCTAAAAGTTAGCATTTGCTAGAAATAGGCGGATTTTTGATGTGTTAGCTCAGTTCTTTTAAGGGCCTTACCTCTGGAGACGGAAATCCGTAAGGTAAGGTGAGGCGAGACATTTTTAGGGTCGACCTTTTTTAACCCTTTCCTTCCTTCCTTGTGAGAAGGCAGCATCGCTGCAGATTATGGTTGTCCGAGGGAAACACCTTACTGCCGTCACAGCCCTCTACAGTCAGCAGTACGACTTCGCCCTCAGACCTTGAGTTGCTGGTTGTAGTCTTACCGTTTTCCGATCAACCTGCCTGGCATGGTAGAACCTACAGGAACATATGTTCCAGCCAATATAACTCGGTTGCGTCATCACGATAGGCAAGCCCGACCACCACGTCAAGGTAGCAGCTACGGTCGTGACATTTAAACAAGACTGATCCATTATTGGGTGGACGGTATGTCTTTGAAATATGTATTCAGGTTGTTAAAAACATTTATTCACTTCCAGTTCAATTGGTAGGTCGGTCGTTTGCTCATACGTTTTCTTTTTATATTACAAATTTTAATGTCCTTAGTAGTTGTTTGCTTTTGTAAATAATCCCCGGTGTTTGTTTTTGTTGGTATCAAAGGAAATTTATCAAATCGCATTCATCATTAGTTGATATTTGCTTGCCAACTAACATCGCTTACGTTATGGATGTTCACTCTTTTTATCGCTATATATTTCAGTCTGTGATAAAGCTTTGGAAAATTTTATGGGCCCAAATTCTGCGTATAGTTTTAAGCAAACTATATATTTATTCAGTTAGTCTTAAAGACTTACTGACAATTTCCTTGTGTCCTAAAGTATATCATGCATTTCATGGACAATTATCTTAGCAATCTTTCTGTTTGTTCTTTATCTTTAGTCTGAATCCTTATAATACAGCTGTATTAAGTCGTAGGGATATACTATGCCCTCATTGTGAAAACGTAAAACAACAGCATGTTCATATACCTTGTACAGCAGCCGCATGCTATGCTTTTATTCGTCATGTTAATTTTCCTATAATTGGTTCACGCTGTGTAATCATTGGTGGTGGTCGTCTTGTCGGAGCACCCACAGCGGATTTGTTGTCACGATCGTGCGGTGCAACGGTTATACAATGTCACATACAGTCAAATAATATTAACGAAGAAATTAATCGAGGTGATGTTGTCATCTCAGCAGTCGGACATCCAAGATTAATAAAGGGTGAATGGATTAAACCAGGAGCATTGGTAATTGATTGCGGCTATTCTGTTCTGAATGGTAGGTGGGAATAAATCTGTTGTTTTAAGCTTTAATGTCTTTTTGTAAACATTACTTTCATGCTTGTTTGTTTACGTTCACTGAAATGTTGATGAAGTATGCTAGTTTGAACTGACAGTTTTTCGTTCTAACTTCTACAACTCGAATACCTGATGGACATAGTAGGTTGGTGGTATGCACAACCAAATGGTTCAGGAAGAATATGTTGTACTTTGGTTATTAATGTACTTGTAATAACTTGAAAGACGAAAACTGTGATATGTATGGTTTGCTATTAGTGGTATGGGGACAGTTCTTTTCCCTGTTGCTCACGTCTTGAAAGAATAATTTTCCATGGGTAATCTAAAAAAGTCTGTATTAGTAGTGAATTTAGCGACCTGAAGCATAAACACAGAGACCAAGGGACAGCTACTTGAGGCCGGTCACACAAGGCCACTTTGTGGCCAGATTTTGATGTGTTAGTTCTATGCTTCAGAAGGCCTTATCACTGAATACACAAATTATCTGGGTAGTATGAGGTGTGACATTTTAGGGTTTGCCTTTTCTAACCTTTCGTTATATGGAGGTAGTATTGTGGTGTGTGCTACTGATTTCGACAGATATAAGTATTAGGTATCATCAATTGGAAGTGAATTGCTTGGAGGCAGAAGGTTAAGAAGATCAAGGAAAAGAGAACGAGAACAGAGAATGATTGGTGTGGAAGCGAAGGAACAATGAAGTTTAAGACGATTGATTCACATTTCGCAAATGAAGTATTTACTGTATGATTCTCAGATTTCACTGAGAGATTCTATAATTTTGTGTTGAAATACATTTGGTTGTCCCCACTTGTGTTCTCCTTCACTACAGTACCTCTGGAGATTCTGTTTGTCTGAAGGAAACACCTTACAGCAACCACATCCATGTACGGCTAGAAGAATAACTTCTCCCTCTTAACTTAAGTCACTGCTTCTAGTCTTACCGTTCTCTGATCTACCTGCTTGGTATGAACATAAAGGGTTGGTGTTTCGTCCAATGTAGGCCGAATAAATCATTATGATATGTAAACCCTACCACGACGTCAAGACAACAACTGTGGTTTGGTTCAGACTAATTATTATCAAATTTAATTCGTCAATTATTAGTGTAACTCGTTTCCTGAGTGCAGGAATTTATGTACTAAGCTTTGAGCAAACTGTTTTTATGTGGGCTGGTAATATTACCCAGCAACCCAAACCAAAGTAAGGGAGAACGGAGTTTGAACCTGTAGCCTATTGGATAGAAGCCGGACACTTTAACTACTAAACTGTCATCATCAAAATTTGTTTCTTTGTAGGTTCACTAATTGTTTCATTGAAGGATCTAAAACCGAACATTTTAGGTAACGTTATATAAATATACATATTTATCATTACAATTATTGTTATTTTCGTTTAAACAGATCCTCGAAATCCAAACAAATCACGATGCGTCGGTGATGTAGAATTTGAAACAGCTATAGAGAATGCGAAGTGGATTACACCAGTTCCAGGTGGAGTTGGTCCAGTTTCAATCGCTATGTTATTTCGTAATACCGTGAATAGTGCTAAATGGTCTGTAGGATTAAATAATTCCATATGTTCTTGTTCAAATTATTCTGAAAATGACATCTTATCTAAAGAACATGCCGATAGAAAAGTATCTAGATAAAAGGGATGATGATAACTATCTTAGTTAATCTAATCAATGGATATTGTTTTTAGTTAAACATCCTGTACTTATTCAATTATCTTGAACGAATTCTAAACCAGACATTTATTTTAAACTGTTTCTACTACCTTCTATTAATTAGCGTATCGCTAATCGTAATATAGGCAGATGTGATATTAAGCTCTCTGTTGCTTATTTGTATACTCAATTACTATTACTTTCAACTGAGTATTTTAACTTCATGCAATTAGCATCTTGTGATGTATAATGTAAAATACCCCAACTACAAACAAAAGCATACAGCTCTTATTGTTCATATGAAATAAAAACATCATGTTTTAAGTATATCGGTACAGTTTTCATTATGAATTGTTTCTGTTAATATGTATCATATTTACAATTGTTGGCTGTGTGATTCTGACGTTCGAACGTGTTTAAAATTTAGTAGCCACAAGGAAATTAAAGAATAATTACAATTGGTCAATCATTGGACAACGATCAATGTCTTGTTTGTGTAAGTGTTTAGTGTTGATCGAATTCTGTCGATCAGGTTACTGTATAACCACTAGTGTGAGTGACTTGACTATGGTGAGATGTTATGTGTTCGGATGTCGTGACAGCAATAGGTCGGTGGTAACACCTCAGAATGTGAATCTAAAGGATGCAGGTTATAATCCTACTAGGTACTTCGTAATAACGAGTGCTAAATGGCACGAAACCTGAGTCCAGAGTTTCCTGTTGACTACCTTTAACCACATAGCATCGCTGAATAATGTCAGGGTTAGTGACTCTTGAAAAGTAACCATCAATTCATTAGCGAACGAATATGTTTTTTATTAATCGTAAGGGTCTTTATTACTTCTTAAATATTAAAGACTTAACCCAACTGGACAGTGTCGAGGGTCTTTATGAATGTGAAATATTAGATACCGACCTGAATATACAAACATTTGTAACCAATGAAAAATTTGGTATCCCTTGAATAAGTTGATGGTCATCATGGCTTTGACGTTGAAATAGATAATTGCTGAATATAGAACGGTATCGGAAACATAGTAACAAATGAAAAATGAGAATAAAACAGTATATATTTCTTGATACTGGCTGAAAGCAATCAGGTAGATAAAATGATGCGGTAAAATAATTTGTTCACAGTCAGATTTAAATATATATATTTCACTTTTCTAGGGTGAAATCGGGTTTTATTTACGTAAAAACATAAATATTGGTTCAAAGGGGCACCAAATGCATATGAGTCACACAAGTCACTTGATTTGTGTGAGGGCTGTGATACTTCCCGGGTGCCCAGACCGAAGCAGGTGGTTTTCTTAGGGAGCCACAACCGGAGCCTTTGACCCAAAGATCTGATCCACAAGGCAGTGAAGCATCGTGAGGAGATGCGGTCTCATGGTAGCCGGTGACCAACAATTGATCCAGACGCCATTTGTTCCCTCAGGATACTGGAGCCCATGTGCACCACTGGCTTGGAACCTAGGTTTTCCAACTCCCTTGGGTGGATTTTCTGTGTCCATCAACCCGGTTAAAGCGTCGGACATTCGTTTTTCGTCATCTGAATTTCGTGAACACCCCCGCCACGAGAAGGCAGTTTTAAGTTGGACTTTATCGGTGATTCACGTACCCGAAATGGACTTTACAATGTCTGTTAACTTGGTGCGATTGAACCTTGTGGATTGTTTTGAATGAATAGTCAAATTAAGAAGTTGACATTTTTACGGCTAATCAAGCTATGGTGTTTCAGGACCTGTTTGTTCGAGTTGGCTATTAATGCAGTTGAGCGGAATGGTTCAACATAATTATGTAAACTGATAGATGGACATAAGTGTCTGAGATTAGCGTCTTACTATTTATGCATAGAAATCATTAATTTAAGAACGTAATTTTCATGTAGTATGTTCCTGGATATTTAACTAGGTAGTCTGTTAAATATTTTATTCATATTATCACCAATAAGTCTCTTCGTCATTTATAAAGCGTGTTCAGGATTCTTGATGGATTATTCCGTAGTTTTACTTAATTACATGACCGGTTATTCTTCATCGGCAACTTTTAAATTAGGAAATGAAGTAAATGTTCTCATTCTGTTTTGTCATATGCTGTTAAGCTGTCGTCGGCTACGTAAATGTTGCACTCCTAGTACGACAACCCGTGTTAAACTTTTAGAACAAATCATACAATCTATTTGCGTCTCAATTTTCATTATTCTTCTTGTGGGATGTAGGGTATTGTTATGTAGTAGCGAAGACATATGTACGGGTAACTTGCAGGACCTACTATTGGACTATCATTCTTATTGTATAACTATTCGGTAACTAGATTATCTATATCTATATTCATTTTATTGTAAGCTTCATTTTGACCTATTGATTATTATTGTATGATTTACTGTTCCTAAGTTATACTCAGTTTTACTGATTATTGTCTCCCACGCTTACAGCCTCATTTGGCCTGGTTTTGTACAAATATTAATTTCTATTTTATGGTGTGGTCTGCTTGTCTGGTATATAGATAAAGTATGCTTAAAATAAACGATTCGCATTACAGCAGCTGCTATTGGTGTTTTGGACTCAAGTGGACGGGTTAGGCGGATAAGGGCCAATAAGGACGCTAGATTACTCATACTAATCGAACGTCATTGTCACAGTGTGAAGGTCGTAGAAAGCGTATTCTATTGGTGGATAATTTACGCGAATTACGTCCTTGTTAAATTCGTAAGGTCATAACGAATCAGCGACGACCTTGATCAAGTCATAACAATTGGCTACCGCCTAGGTCAAAAACATAACAAATTGGCGACAGCTTGGTCAAGTCATAACAGGTATGAATCGTAGTAGTTCAGCCAAAACAATATAGGCCTGTTTTCCAGTCATCACGTCCATTCTATTTGATGAATGGGTCGTGAATAATAAAACTATTGAGACTCACTGTTAATTTCTATTACTGTTAAATCACATTATTAGTTTTGTAAAATAACTGAAAAACGTGTTACGCTATACCGTCAAGCACGTATTAAATGCTATTGACAAAAATTTATCCTTTAAACGAAACAGATCATTAAACTTCATGAGCAACGAAAAGTAGTGATCAACGCGTTGACGAGTGAACTTTTCATTGTAACTAATAATCGTCGGTTTAACATGTACACATTGTTCTGATTGGTCGACCGGTAATTCCGCAATCTACATTTTTCGTATTCTAAGGCATTAATTGGAAGATAATAATTTAGGTCATTCAAGCTTACACTAAAAATACTTATTTAGATACGTCACGTGGCATACCTACAGAAATGTTTCTTTTCCCCACCAAAAGTTAGGGAGCGTTTTTTGGGAATTGATGTCCTTTTTACTCAGTAGCGATATGTTTAGTCGAAACTTAATGGGAACGACAATTTTTGTATAACTGGCACATATATGTTAAGTGGGTCAAGTAATAGTTGTTGAAAGAATATAAAATATCAATTAAGTCAACTTGACGAGTGTCGTCTATATACTTGTTAAAGCAATTGATGACCGAACCGAGTTGGTTGTTTTCAATGCCTGCTACCCGTTCCTATACTTCACGTTAGAAGACGATAGTTGCACAAGTAAATAAATACTGAGATCTATAACACAAATTGGCGCTGACCGTTTTCACAAGCCCCCATTGAAATATTGTTCAAGTTGACTGAGGCTTCTTAAGTCTTTGGGCCAATATGAAGTGTTTATTTTGGATACTTTAAACCTTGGGGTACCTCTATTTGGAAATCCCACATATGTTATATAGTGATGCAAGCCTGATGGTCTTAGAAAATGCTCTCAGGACTAATTAGTAGATGTTACTGGTCGCCTCATAAAGCATTTCAATTAGTTTACAATACTGAAAGCAACTGTGAATTTTCCAAATCTGGTTCGCGTTAAACATTCATTCCCTGATTTTGCTCGAATTATATGGAAATGCGAAATATATATATATATATATATATATATATATAGGCGATCCGACTGGTCAGCTAAATGGAGATTTCCTTTCATAATGAATAACGACATATAATAATTACAAAATCGAAATACGAAGATATTTCAATTTCATCGATTGAAAAAACTACAACTTTCAAGAGTATTACTATTACAAACTTCAACATGGGACGGATTTTCACTACAAATTGATGGTTAGATAACCATTAAAAACCAAGGGGTGCAAATAACTGATCTCGTAGTTCCGGAATCCTGAACAGTGCACACTGTAAACATCATACATGGTTGGTTGAGAATCTTCAAGTCATGATAACTATAACTCAGAGAGTCAGTCCAAGTTCTACCAATGCGCTACATTGCATGACGATCTGGTGTCATCGAAGATAGCTATCTCGCCTACCGATTTGGCTAAACTTCTGATCACAGGTTTTCACTACAACTTCAAGAATCCATCTCTAATCTAATTACAAATGAAGGATTCCCAAAAATCTTCTCATGACAATTCACTGTATCTCGTACATTAAAAGAAGTCAGAAATAAGTAACTCATAGAATTACACAAATACTGAAAGCCGAGTAAAATGAATGATACTACGTTGTTTTTTTTTAATGCATATCCATAAGCCAGAAGACTAAATCGTTTTTGAAGAAAGAAAACTGCAATATTATTACCATAAGCATTTTTGAAATGCGCAAATATCTACGCCAACAAAATTGAATATATGACCAAGATAGGGTTCGGTCCTTTTTTGTCTTTTATGTGTTATGTTTTGAAAAAAATATCGCTAACTTTCAAAATAGTTTAAACAAATAAACTGACCACATTATCTAAATACTTCCATACTCCTCTGTAACTAATAACATACATGACATAATGAGTAAAAAAAAAGAGTAAACTACACAAACAAAAGAAGGAAATAAGTTTCCTAGAACAATAATATTAATGATAACAATGACAATAATAATGGAAATGATAGTAAAATATAATCTGTAATAATGATATTTTGATTGAGTTCGAAGGCGATTGTTTAATGAATAGATGAGTAAGTGAACAAAGAAATTATATTAAGCGTATATAATAAACTGGTAATTATATGTCTTATGTTTAGTTTGGAAGTGGATTCCCTTCAATCTGTTGTTGTATAGTGTCAGATAATGCCGCTCTTTGCAAAGCTGCTTCAACAGCTTTCCGTCGAGCGATAACTGACTGAAAGAGAGAAATAATGAAAATTTTACTCGTTATTATTCTAATATTCGTTTTGTTTTGTCATTAAACAATGTGGTTTGTTAATTATATATTTCGGTATCATTTTGTCATATACTTTCGCACAGTTGTATCATTTAATTGACGTAACTGGTGTATTGATGATATTCAAACTAAGATCATTTTCGGTTAATATTATAAATCCACTGTCAGAAATAGAACTTTAAATTCATTTCAAATTAATAAACAAAATTCTTAACTCAGGATACTTACTTAAATAGATTGATGAAGTAGTGAAACTTCATCAGTTGAGATGGCTGAGACACGTGTTACGTATGCCCAACCACCAACTGCCCCGACGTGCAATGTTTTATGGTGTAGGAGTAGGTCGGAAGAAAGCTAGATTCGGCCAGACCAAAACGTGGCACAAATCCATGAAGTCACTGACAAGTGGACTGAGCCATATTGGTAGGTGTAGACTACCTGGTTGGGATCCGCGAGATGATAGCAATCGATAGTTAGAGACCTTGAATGACATGGCTCCAAATCGTTATCAATGGTGGAGGTGCATCCACTCTCTGTGTTCTCCCAAAGTTTAATTTTCTGAATTCTTCATGTCTCTATCTTTTTTCTCTTTCCAAATTTTATTTCACTGGATCATAATCCTTGAATAACATCCTCAAACCCTAATCTTTCCGATTACTGCTTGTTCTCTTACTCCTTCTACCACCATGTGATTTGAATCGACAACTGCATCTCTGTGCTAATGTGGTATGGAAACCCGAACTGATGTACGTACGTACGAAGTTCTACGTTGTGACTGACTGACTGATACTTACTTACTTACGCCTGTTACCCCTCGTGGAGGAGCATAGGCCGCCCACCAGTTCTGGTTAGCGTTTCTTCAGCAAGTTAGTTTTCTACAAGATGGGGTCGCTAACCGCACGCCCAAACCTCCTCCTTTACCTATGCTTGGAACCGGCAATAACTATAAGAGCTACAGGTGGATAGTAACACTGAAAATGTAACTCTAGTATATTGCCAAGACTTAGTTTCGAATGCTCTATCGTTCATTTTGTGCGACGTAATCAGTATGGTCTTAAAAAAGAGGTGAGTAACTGAAATTTATTTTCAGTTATTATTTAATGTTAATATCATTTTCATCATTGCTTATGTCAACACCCTTAGTTACTAACATATTACTCATTTAGATGAATCATTCACGAAAAAGTCTCAAGTGTCACTTCTTTTTTAAGCTGACAATTATGAAATTATTTTCAGTCGTAACGGAATAGTAACGACCGAAATAATCAACATATGAGATGAAAGATAACTAAAATCATATGTTTGACAAATTGATCAAGCACCTATTTACACCAGAAATCCTGTCTCCAATATTCTTAGAGAGTAATACGAGACAACATACTAATATCACCAACTACTGTATTTGTGAGACAATCATGTTTACCTGATTCTCACTGAGCGATATTAAAGGTTCCAGATTGTAATAACTTGAAACAAGATAGATTTGACCTGAACTAAATACTGATGCGGTTTCTTCTCTATGACTCCGAAATACTTTTTTAACCTCCTAATTATTCAAACAGGAGACTCAAGGAAGAAAATAACATTGCAGAAGTGGATCGATCTATTCACCAACCACTAATTAGACGACATTTAGAATAATACTAACAAATTACACATCATTTTAAATGCTTGGCTAGTCAGTTATTTTGAATGAATCATACTAATACCTAATCAAAAATCTAATATGTGTGTAGAATTACGAAAACCAATAAATTAACTAACTTTACTGAAAAATATTGCATATCAATGAATTATATGCTTGTTTTATTCATGGTACAGATATATTTTGAGTTTTCATGATTGTACATGGAATGGTTCACTCATTCTTTATGTTTTATTAAAATAACATAACTTTCTTAGATAGTGAACTCTGGTTATCAGTTCCTTACAAAACAAATGTCAATATAGAGCGTTTCACACTTGGTAACCCAAAAATATGCACATTCCTCTAGCCACTAGTCTAAAAGACTAACATAATGTAAGACAATTTAATCTCATTGCATTACATTTGGATACCTACCAAAATATCTTATAATAAAGTAAAATAGTTTCTTTAAAAGAATTGAATGACAAAGAAAAGTGGGTGGTCAAAAAGTCGGTATTATACTTCCAATCACAAATTTCAGGTTTGTCAGTTTTATCAATTTTATGCTTAAACTGCATAGTAGACTTTAATACTCTACAAGTTAAACAAAACTAAAACATTGCTCGGTGGCGTATGACAAATTCAACCTGGTTATCAATACCAACTGAATAGTATGTTTCATTTAAGAGTGGATTGAATTTAACCGATCAATTAGTTTATTATGTCAGTTGAGATCAATTACCCGAAGTTACTATGAATTTGGGTTACTTTCAAGACTGTTCAAATTATTATCTTTGTAAAAAACTCTAGGACCAACCTCGTTTACTTTGTTTCGAGACACATTATTTTCACGAGTACTGGGTTTACTAATGGTTAGATGCTTAAGATCATCTTCATCGTGGTTTTCATTATTATGTTCTGATGAACGACCTTGCTGATTGGAACTACACTGCAAAATGGAACATTGATTTCTCTGATTAACTGGAGCATTCGTAGTGCGATTAGTAGAAGTAGTAGACGTAGCATAAGTTGCAGCAGCTGAAGGTTTAGGTCGATTGCGAGTAGTACGATTATTCTGTGTATCTGAAGCAGTCCCAACAACAGAACTCTGAGTTGTTATCTGATTTCTACTGGTTGTTTGTGAACCTTGTCTGGAATTCGATGGACGATGCTAATCAGTATTTCAATGCAAATAAGAAATGCCACTTTGAAAGAATAACAATTATGTTTTGTTACTTGTTGACAAGTGAAATTCTAAGAAAGCCTCTAATAATAATAACATTTCTTTAAGACAAAATGTAGAAAAGTGTAAGTCATTCATGACTTTATTCAGGGGACACATAAAAATCACTAATCGTAGAAGCGGATATTATCAACACTTAGCTTATCGTTTAGTTCTTTATCACTGGAGCATAATTTTCAAGTAAGAAATGTAACATGAACGTAAAGTATCATAAAAATCTTGTATTCATAAACACTATTTTTCGAAGCCTCTACCCACCAGTTATTGAAGAGGATTAAAAAGTAGGAAATCACTTAAAACAGGTAGAATTATAAATTATTTAAGGTAGACAGAATTAGTGCTATAACTACCATAATATAGTTACAATTAAAGATAGTTTTGTATGCTGATCCCTAAGATTCAAACAAATCCCTATTAACATAACTCCATCATTCGTAGTTTTAGAAAAAATCTTCATGGTTGAGAGATTCTAGGATGATAAGGTGGTCTTACCATGCAAACTGAATGTCACTCAGAGTTTGAAATGAAGTCAAAAGTAGATTGTGGAGTCGTAGGAGTAATATTACTCTACTAATTGGTAACTCGATATTTCACTTTGAGTGGTAAGTCAAAATGAATGATTTAGGCCAATATATGATTACTTAAACTGGTAGTTCAACATTAGTCCGAAGATTAATGGGTTAAACGATAACGTAGTATCAAGTATAGAATAATTTCACTCAGCTAAAGCCTAAAAATATAGTGCATTCAAATTAAATTCTTTCTACCGTTTTCAAGGGTGAATGATTGTAAAATTAAATTACTTTTAACGACTGCTAAACAGGTGATACTCTTTAAAAAAACGATAGCGATATATTTACAAAAATCTCCCACTCGCAAAATAGCCACAGTTTTATCATTAGCTACGATAATCTACTAGATGTCAATTAAAGTCATTCTTTTTATCAGACTGAGAAATGTATATAATGACATAGGTGATAAATCAAGATTATCTAAAATTCGGACTTCATTTGATAATCTTTGTTGAGTAGGTGATGCCCACAAATTTGTTGATTTACCACGAACTGACCACACGGGATGAATAATCTGATTCAGTACTGTAAATGTTCATACGTTTATCAAATCAGTCCATACTTTCAAGGTTCGATTTTGGATAGTTGTCGTCATCCTGAGAAACATGGTGTTAAGTGATTTTTGAATCTTCTTATGAACGATCAGTAATCCTTGATGGTAACAGCCCAGCTCAAATAAAACATGTTTCAATGTTTGAAAGCAATCCAAGTTATATGAAAAATTATGAGCTTCTATGATGTTGTTATTGAAGTAAAAACACGTGTCCTTTACTTGACTATTTTCAAATTTGAGCTAGGATTCACATTTTAATGCAAAAATTGACATTCACTGGAAAATTTCGTGAGGAGCAAATCGTGGTTTATTTTATGTCATTTGCTAAGACATCTGTGTCTCTACACTCCCACTTGTTTAGCATATACTTACTTCTTGTTTTTAATTTTAAACATGTTGAAGTTTACTTAACACGTATCACTTATGCTCCGCTAACTAATTTATCCCTCACGGTTAACTAATATCCGATATACCATTGATTATTATTCGTATAAGGGCATCATCTGTCTAACACTTTATATTCAATGCGTCGAATCGTTTCTTTGACAATTTACAATAAAGTCTGATTACACAAAATCCACTTTCATATTCAGTAGTGTAGAAAAAATAAAACCGAAGGAAATCATTGTTCATCTATATAATGCAAGCGAAACTCTATTGATTGTAAATTTAAATGGTAATGAGAGAAAAAGGTTTAAAAAATCTTGTGTATAAATCGGATCGAATACCTGTTCTTGAACATTTGAAGTTGATGCACCTGGACGTGGACGAACAGCTCGTATAGGCGTCGGTTTTGAAGTCGTCCCACTATTTGATTGAGCTCTCTGTCGCTGACGATTGCGTTCTAACCGAGCCAGTCCAGCACGAACACCAGCACGACATTTTGGACAGGTTGTTGACTGTTTTAGCCAGGAATCAATACATTTCATGTGGAATGCATGTCCACAAGGTAGGTGGCGGAGGCGATCTTTATCCTGATATTCAACTAAAAATAAGTAATCCAAACATTTTCCTTTGAATCAGTGTAGAACTCTCAACCGGTTCAATAATCTACAACATTATAATTTATCATCATTAATCATCCATTGTCCAAATAACAGAATGTTTAGTAACCCTCATAATATGCTCAAAATTGAGATGAATAACAAGGTACAAAGCTCAATAATAGATTTGGTACCGAATACCAAAGCATTCCTTGCAATAGTTTACTTGAGATGTAAACGGATTTAGTTTCTTCTTCCTTGGAATTTTGAATAGCAAGGGATATCATAAAATACTAAATTATACAATCAGTCGGATTCGAAAATTATTTTCATCATTCCACTCTTCTCTAACCCTATGATTATTATTCAACTCCCTTTGATATTTGAAATCTGAAATCACTTTATGACGCATTATTTTTCACCAAACAATTATACATACGAATGTACAGCATACGTAAATGACTTCGTTCAAAAGAAGATTTTCTTCACTAGGAATATTACCAGTATATTTATTCAGTGAAAATCCCTCTCAAAGCTGTACGTAGTTATAAATCATTTAGGCAGATATAAAAACAGTGTTACATAGAAAGTCTACAGTAGAACAATACACTCATTTCTATAGTGCAGTACCAATTAAATGCAAAAGAAACTTGATAAAGAACCTGACTGATCGTGCTAGAATGATTAGCTCGGATGACATTATTTTAAATGAATGGGTTAATATTCGCAACTTGCTTAATAGGAATGAGTACCCAATGGAATTCATCGACAAACACATGAAAGAGACGAAAAGAAGAACAAGGGTACCTACTGTTCCGAAGAAGGTATTGTTCTTAAAGTTACGATTCTTAAATGATGCTGCGGAAGAAATCGTGACACAGAGGTTAAGAAAGGCAGTACGGAAAACATTTAATGCAGCTCGACCGAGTACCGTCTTCTGCAACCGCCCCACAATAAGAACGGTTAATAAAGACAGATTGCCTAAATTCGCCACATCTATGTGTATTTACCAATTCAACTGCTCCTGTGGAGCCAGTTATATAGGGCGTACAATTCGGCAAGTTCGTCAACGAATAACAGAACACCATTCGTCGTGGTTGAGCAAAGGACAGGTAAAGGTGACTAAGAGTTCTAATCTCGCTCACTTGGTCGACACAGGTCGTCAAGTTGAACTGAATAAAGCTTTTAAAGTTATCTACCATATTCCATCAAATTTGCCGCACGGTTTACGAGCTCGTCTGTTGTAGATAGCTGAAGCCATAGCAATCAATATATTCACAAACCGAACCTTTATATCCAAAAGAAGTTTGCACAAACACTCTCGCTACCTTGGCCATCGGTATAGCGAAGTTTGTAGCAGAATTTTGGTAAACAATCATTTTATGCCTTCCATTTTTGTATTCTACTTATTCTCTACATTCGTCTCTTGATTCTTACATAACTACAATATTACTGACCATTCATCAAAATATTTTGTTAGTTCTTTCTTCTCTTTTATATATTATGCAACGTAACAACAGCTTCATTTTCAAATAATTACTTTGATCATTATTAATCCTCTTTTTTCCAACTAATAATCGATATGTAATTAGATAATTATTACGTAACGTATGTACTCGAAAAGTGTTATTTCATTATTGTAAATCATATATTTATATTAGTGTAGAGCCATGATGAGAAACTAATTGACAAGAAGCTTCTTCGCTCGATTCGTTCCTTTTTTATTTATCAAATGTCAAAATGGCAATTTTCACTACATTTTTAATGATCCACAATAAATTCGAACGTTTGAGTTCAGATAAATCAGAGGAAAAATAATGACGAGTTTTTATTACTTGAAATGATCTAATTATTAACCTATGTTTTATACTAGAACCAACTTAACAACTAATGCAGTCTTTTCCAGCATTGTTTGTAAATTTCACAAATTTCAAACAATATGTCATAATCTTATGTGATTGTGGAAATTGTTGAATTTAATTGCAATCGCGGACTGAAAAACATAGGCAACCATTGAATATCCTATTACGGAGTCCCTCAAAAATATGCACCCACAACTCCTCCACTGAAGAATCGAACCCAGGACCACTAGTCCTGACTCAACGATCTAGAGTTTAAGGATTGATGCATGAAAATAAAGGTCATGGGTTTGATCCTGGTTTGCAGGGTTGGTGATTTCTCCCGTAAAAAAGACGAAACAGTCATCTAGTACTTTCAAGTTTTCAATGGTTGTTCAACTAAGATCGGTTCGTGATTTCAATCATGTGCCCTAATCGTTCAATGTAGGGTAAGTATACAACTCTTTAGAATCCGATTCTTGTCTTGTACCATTTTCTTTGCCTTCACTAATATTCTTTCCATAAATCATATTAATTTCTCTAGAAATCTAACCAACTTTCATTGTCCTATTATATTTCTGAATTTATTTCACTATCATTAGTTTGATAGAATATACGTAATTAATTGTCTAAAAATCCCAGAAGCAACTAAACAACAGTAAGGGTAACAATAGTGACAGAAAATCAATATCTTCATGTGCAACAATCTTCGATGGAAGGGTAATATTAAATGATGAAGTAAAAATCTTAAATTACTTTGATTAGAAGTGATTCACTTACAATCATCTCATAGTTAAAATATTTCAAATGAAGATTATATCACACCATGTAAATTACGTAACCAAAAAGATGATTACATTTTTATGAAATTAACTAATTGAATTGTTATGTATGGATTAACTAGCATAATTAAATATCACTTAAATAAGAATCATAGAATGAACAGTATTCAACCATATAACGGACAAAAGCATCACTCAGTTAACATGATAAACTACCGGTTTTATTGATAGGGTCATGACCCCGAATAAATCACAGAAAGAAGGAAAAAATAGTTGATCTAAGTGTAAATAATCCTGGTACATTTTAATTTGAAAATAAATAATATAACTTGTATAAATAATTTAGTATGAAGGTTTGTGAAGATCATAGTAATTTTAATAGTTGAATTCATGAGTCGATCTAAGCTAGGTCACCATTAGAAACCTGGAAGCACTGGACGTTATGCGACTCCTCAGTAGTGTGTATCCACGACCTCGCATGTGAGATTCGAACACAGGACATTCGGTTTCACACACGAACGTTGAACCTCTAGATCACTGAGCCAGTATCCAATGGTGTTAATGTCTAATTTCAATTGATTAATTAACCGTTTACAAGAAAAATTAAAGTTCTATGATGAATGTAGCTCAGAGTACGATAAACCATCCGAAATGTCATACTTCATGAAACATAACTTCCTACATTATTTTAGGTTTCTGAAACGGATCGACTTGCTTCTAAAGCAGTTTAATTGCAGATAGTTTCGTTCATTCTGAGTATTTAAAACTGGTAATTAAAATATTAATGTTACCTGTCAAGTTATTTATAAATTATATCATAGTATTTTGTTAAATTAAAATGTATTAGCTTTAAGCAATCACAGGTATATATATATATATATATACTGAAGACATTGGTGAAATGGTTGCTCAACTTCGTGGATTGGTTGAAGTTAGACATTAACAACGTTGAATCCCGGCTCAGTGGTCTGTCGGTTAAGTGCTCTGGCGCGAGAATGGTAGGTCCTGGGTCCGAATCTCGCGAGGCGAGGTCGTGAATGCGCACTGCTGAGCAGTCCCATAATAGGACGAAACGGTCGTCCAGTGCTTCCAGGTTTTCCATGGTGGTCTAGCTGTAATTGACTCATGAATTCAATTATGAAAATGTAGGCCTGTTAGTAAAGTGTTTAATATAAAACTAAGCACATACATGTAAAAAAAGCTTAGTAGGACAAGAACAATATACAGGACATAAATAAATAATATATTTGTAATATCACAATAAGTAGAAAAATTAGATTTTCTGACGTTTCGTGACTCAGTGTAGGCCACTTCTTCAGAGAATAAATAACCAAATTTGGTTACGTAACGTCAGAAAATCTAATTTTTCTACTCATTGGGATATTACAAGTATATTAATTTATTTATAACAATCTACCCAATGCTCAACTTATTCAAAATTATCAAATCAAAACTTGGTAATGATATCTACAAATATACAGGACAGTTTAAAAACATGGTTAATAATGTTTGGTAAATACTGATATAATAGTTTGGTTGAAGTTGCTTAGACTACTGACTAGAAGTCACTAGGTTAGCCTATATCAACCCGTATGATTAGTCAAAATGTATTTTGTTTGAAACATTTTAATATAATAATTTATGTATAAAATTCATGTCTGTGATTATTTTATTATTTCCCTGTACTATAATGACCATAACTTGAAATGAACTGTTGTAATTAAATTGTAAGATTGACAAAATAATCTAAAATCTAGGTAAAATCTATTATCAAAGTTTTACTACTTCATCAATTGATTTGCCATCCTTACCTAGTACCCGTTTCCTAACGACTGTATTACTTACTCGGTGGTCCCAGGATATACGAGCAATGCTTCAAAGACACCTATGATCGAATACTAGTAACCTACAAATATTTAAATAGAACTACAAGTAAGGTTTTATGAAATACCTTAATGGATCTAAACCATTAAAATGAATGAAATAAGAACATACAAAAAACACTTTGATCCTAATAGACATGGTTGATGACTAGGTAGGAAAATTTGCAAAAAGGAGTACTAGTATGATATCTATCTATTCTTATGGTTACTAACATGATTATATTAATTATAGTTAATATTTTAAGTAATGATTATTCTTTACTGTGACTCAAAACGAAGGTAATTCATACCAAAGTTAAAACACTCCAGTTTTGAAAGAAAAGTGAAGATATTTTAAATTAGAAAAATAAATAGCATAAGTGAATAAGACTTTTTCCGTCCTCCATATAAGCATAAAAGTAAATAACATAATTTACTTTCAACTCACATAAACATATTTCACATTCAGGATGACCACGTGCTGGAGATGATTGTATTGGTTGAATTTGGACAAGAGTAGTTGTTTTTGATTCTGGTTCAAGATAATGTGTACCAGCAGATGGTGTCATATTATTCTGGTTCTCATTAAGAACAGGTACAATATTAGGAGTATTTAATGTCTTTGTAGTCGAATCAGGTGATGTAAATGTGTCGTCGCTTGTTGATGAGGTCTTTTTAATTCTATAAATGCTTGTAGGAAGTTTTTTCAGTTCATCAGCATTCATAAATCCTAATACTTTAGGACGTGCAGTTGGCTCAGGCAAGAATGATCTACGAGTATTCGAGTCATACCACTGTAGTCTGGTTCTTTCAAATGTCACAGGATCATTATTTCTATGCCTAAATTCAAAAAGATAATGAGCTGTTAGGGATAATATTAGTAAATGGTATTTGGTCTAACTATGTTTCAAAAGTGTCTGAAACATAAATTAGTGAGGATAGCCTAAGATCTGAACAACCTGTATCGTGTTACTTTACTACTCTTTACATTAAAAATAACATTACCAACCATAAAAAACCGAATCAAACAGAAATAAGAATATGAATATTTGTATGAAGCTAAGAGAAACAAGTTGTAGTGTAAAATGAACAGTATTATAAAAGAAAAAAGATGAATATACCTAAGCTAGTGTAGCCAATTATAATCTACATATTTAACATATTTAACCAAAGATTTTGTGTATCTTATAAATTGTCAGTCAGAAGTATACCATTTCCTATATATTTCAGGTTGAAAGTCAGATGGTTGATAAATTAGTACCATATTTTGTTTCGGCCATTTCAACCTCTTTCTGTACTAGCTAACAGAGCACGAGGGATTTGATAATGGTTTTGGACTTGTGTAATTCACTGGTAAGTTGATGGAAGTATATAACATCATCAACTAATTCCTTTTTTTAAATGAATGATATAATGTTTTTAGAAAACAATTAGTTCCATTGCCTGTAGTTTTTTTTCCGACAATTGGAAACCTGGACATTTTCAAAAAGTGAATATATCTAATGATTATCAATTGTGTAGAATATGAGAATCGTATTAAGCTAGAACCATTAACTGACAGTGAATATAGTATTTATGAGAATGACTGAACGGGATTTACAGATTAAGCGTGGTACATTAGCAAATATGAAATTAATGACTATTTTGATGAACCAACCTATGCGTATTCTTACTGTTATTTGTCTGAAATAATCTAAATGCCTCTGTTATAATTGAACATTCAAGAAATACATATAAGAACTTTCGTCTAAATTAGAGTGAATAGTTTCACAGTATTTGGGCGCCGAGTTGATGTAAGACATTTAATAGGGATAATATATTTGTAAAATCTCAGCGAATGAATTTGAAGTAATTCCAATGTTTCACCTGGTAATCTGGTCCAAGCTTTCTCAAGGAAATAATATATAAGAACTTTCGTCTAAATTAGAGCGAATAGTTTCCTTGAAAAAGCTTGGACTAGATTGCCAGGCGAAACGCTGTGTTTACTTCAAATTCATTCGCTGATTTTTTAAAAATATGTTAGTCCTATTTAATTCAAGAAATACATTTTTATTATAAGGAACCAATTTTATCACACAATTGATAGCAAAATAATTTTAGATTTATCAATATGGGGATTTGTGTAGATTGTAATATTCTCACAGTTAAATCCACGAGTAGATCTAAGCTAGACTATCATTGAAAACATAGAAACACTTGATGGTCGTTTCGTCCTAGTATGGAACTCCTCAGATGTGAGCATTCATATCCCCCACATATGGAACTTGAACTCAGGACCTTCGGTCTCGCGCGCGAAAACATTTACTAATTTTAAAAGCTTACAAAGAAAAGCAACAAATACAGTTTTTATTCAATTAGACTGATTATAATTTCATGTAAATAATCACTGAAAATATTTAGGTCATAATTGAAAGAAACGTCAGATAAATTAATTCGTTAAATATCAAGAAGCAAAACAACATATCGAGGCAATACGCACAGTATGCATATATGCCAATTAGAGACTGATTAATTGCAGTCCTAAAAATCAATGGTAAGATTCAAACAAACAATACTAAGTGAATTTAAACCTCACCTCATTTCACAAGCAAGTGGCTATCAGAACTCAGTGGCCGAGTGGATAATGCGATGGCTTTTGAAGCGAAAGGTACTGGGTTCGAGTCCCCGAGTGAACATCAACACTGAGATGCAGGTACATCCAGCTGACGAGTCATAAATAGGACGAAACGCGCATCCTAGATTCCACTGCTAGCCACTATCCATCTCTGCTTACCATGACTGTGAATTAAGGCTATATCGAGGCAATACACACAGTATGCACATATGCCAATTAGAGACTGACCAGTTGCAGTCCTAAACATCAATGGGAAGATTCAAACAAACAGTACTAAATTAATTTAAAGAACAGTACAGTTTTGATGTGTAATATGAATATCTATGTTTAACAATAAGTGGTCAAATTTTCTGTTAGCTATTAAATGATGGACATAAATCAAACTTGACTAGAAATCTTTTACAAAAATAAGGAAATGATGTACGTTTACAGTGAATACCTTATTTAGATGAAAATTTACCAATAATTATCGATTACTCATTTGAGAATAAACTCTAAATTAAGGTAGTACTTTTATAGTAACCTAAAGAGTACTATTCTGATTTTAGTCATTACTCAATTTATAAAACCTTCAATATTTACCGAGGAATGTAAAATTTACATCAAGGAGATTTTTTATTCTTTCAGAAAGTAAGTGATCAGACAAAATTTTCACAGTAGCCTACATAAAATTCATTCAACTTATAAAGAAGGCTATCTACAATTATTCAATAAACTTCAGTTAGTCAGCTAGAAAGTAGGACCAGACACATATGTGCATCGGTCCAAGTTGCCATACCTCATTAGCACAACAAGATGAACACCCGTTTTATAGAAATAGTTAATTTAGTGGTGGTAATATATAAAAGATAGGTTGTATATAAGGATATAGTATAGGAAGGAAAAAAGTTATGAAGCAACTTTAATTTTAAGGTTTAAGGGAAGATAAAGAGTGTACACACCTACGCCATTGTGATCGATTCTGAGCCATATCACCTAGAGTCTCCAATCATTGGTTACGATAGTCAGGCGGACCCTAACCAGGTAGTCTGCATCTGTCAACATGCCTCAGACTAGAAGTTATTAACTTCAAACACTGATGCCAGGTTTTGGTTTGGTCGCTATGTCATATTTATATGATGAGACAAATATAATTTATATTTTGATGACTTCAGTTAAGAACAATAAGAAAAGACAATCTGAATTCATTGTAAACTACAAGTTAATCAATGTGAAGTGACCTTCATAGTTTGTCTGATAAACTTGTTGCCAAGGTACCATTTCTTAAAGTTAATATTATAAAGTGGAATTCTACTGATTTACATTTATGATATGAATACTTTATATGAATTTGTTTAGTTGGTTGCCTATTGAAGCATGTATTAAGGTGAGAGATATAACTTTCCTAGATTTCTTTAAACAAAAAATCTCATACTGTCGTATACGACATCAAAATGGATTCTTTTACTTCATACCTTCTAGGAAATGATTTTTTCCAAAATAGGAAGATATTTTATTTTCCGGTTGATAAACTTCTTCAATATGTTTAATTCATAGAGATAACTAACATACCTACCCAATTCAATGAATACTAAATTTTCAAATAACTTTTAATCAACTGTATGTATGCAACTTTGCTGAAATGAATTTACCAGTCTCATGTTTGTAAAAAAACTTCAACCCCTATTTAAATAGGTATAACTTTGAAAATAACTCTCACTGGCGAGTTGACACCAGTCAGGGTACTCATATTTAAGCCAACTATTCTTTAGAGTGTAAAGGTTAATGATATTAATTAGAAGACTAGACCAAAGTAGGTTGGAGCAGGGTTCGAACCTTCTTTCCTCCTCCTCCTCCTCCCGAAGTTGTTTTATAGCCATTAGTTCAATGTTTCCTACTAAATCATACTAGTGAAATCACATGTTCGCATTAGATGAAGTATTTCCTTTTAAGACGAATGCTCCAGATATCTTATGTGTGCATTACTTTGTATTTGTCAGTTTATAAGTTATTTGACAAACTTATCAATTCATTTGTTGCATGAAGGCTTACGATATAATCGAACTTCAGAAATCTTTCAAAGATAAATTCATTTTTCAAAGCTTTTTTATATGCAAATTCATGATGGATGAAAAGTATATGCAAATCAGTGTTCCAGTGAGCTATGTTGGATTTAATAATGTTATGTTATAAACTAATCACCTTTCTGTAGTATCAGGGTCAAAGAATAATGCGATGTAGAAGCTACTGGGATGAAACTCATTAAACATGAACAAACTAACTGACCCGGAGTTGACATTAGTGAAATTACCATTTTCATGCTCAAACTCACTACCGGGCCTCAACGTTAATTAAACGATTGGACAATGAAGCAGACACCTCTGAATTTAAGCATAATGAATGTACATCACTTGATAAGGTTTATATCATGCTAAACAACCAGTACTTGGACTATCGACCCCTGTACATCTATGAGCTAGATTTCAGAAAGTTCCAAAGAAATAATATAATGTTCCAGTTATAACATAAAATTGGTCTAACTCAAATCCTCAGGAATAGTAAAGCGGGTACCAAAATGGTTCAGAATTAAAAGAGGATATGCACTTCCATGTTCTTATAATTTTGTCAGAATATTAATTTTTTTCTGATTTGACTTTAATTGCTTAAAGATTTGATATGATCAATCTTTTTACCGGTTTCTCGGCCCTTCTAGATAATTATATAACCCTTAACATTATCATAGTTTATGATTCTGTGTTTAACGTTCACATATGGTAATTTCAAGTATGCTGCTTACTTCCTAGAAGTTTCAGCCTTACCAGTCAAGATAATAATAAGAATATAATTGAAGATTTACATCTATTTATTGTGCTTTAAAATAAAAAAAATTAGTTATTATATATTAAGTAGATAACTTCTAGTTATAGATTGAATTAATCTAAGGTATTGAAATTTTTCAAAGTACTACAAAAGTACAATTTTGACAACACTTGGGTTTGAAGATACCTTATAAAAACTTTGCCTACGAAAGTTCTAAATTATAAAAGGCATTTACAGTTCTGACAAATACTAAGATAACCTCAAACTTGGTAAAAGTAAGAGGTTATGTTTAGATTTGCAATGTAATAGGATACATCTCTGTTGTGAACTCTGAAGTGTTATTTATACATCAGAATAAGTTAACTACGATAGTTCAAGAAACATGTTGATCACTACGTCTCTAAATTCAAGCGTGCCCCCAAATGCCCTGGTACGGCCGAGAGTGGAGAGAGTCCGCTCTTTCTCTTGAAATGCCCTCACATGGCCACGCGAATATATAGCCTCTGACAGGGAAGTCTTACTCACTGCCTTCTCGTGGCATTACTGTTGTTTACGGAATTTAGAGGACGAAAAGCGAATGTCCGGCGCTTTAACCGGGTTGGTAGACACGGAGAGTTCACCTAGGGGAGTTAGAAAACCCTGATTCCAAACCAATGGTGCACATGGGCTCCAGTATCCTGAGGGAATAAATGGCGTATGAATCAATCGTTGGTCACCGGTTACCATGGGACTGCATCTCCTCACGATGCTCCACTGCCTTGTGGATTAGCCCTTTAGGTCAAAGGTTCCGGGTGTGGCCCCCTAAGAAAACCACCTGCTTCAGTTTGGGCACCTGGCCAGTATCACAGCCCTCACACAAATCAAATGAGATTTCTGCGGCGCATATTTATCTGGTGCCCCTTTGAACCAATATTTATGTGTTTAAATAAAATAAATAAAAAAATTCAAGCGTCATTTCAAACAATAAATCATCTGACCAGATAATTGAAAATTATTTCCTGATTGACTGATTTACAAAAATAATAATCAATAATGATGGATAATAAGAATTGATTATTTCAAAGTCTCTTGATCCTTTTGAAGTAGCACCACTGATAGTTAATGTAAAAGAAATATTTACGTACCAGAATTTTATGGGATAACACTAACCTGTTTACGCGTGAATTACCAACTACATCATTTGAATCGCTTAGCGTTACTCGGACAAGATCTCTTTGAGTACCTCGATCAGATGGAATTATAGAAATATCTCTGAAAAAGATGTAACACGAATGACAAACATTGAATAGTTACACTTTGTGTTAAGAGAAGGTGGTAAATGTTAAAATAGTGGTTGAAATCGGAAACCACCTAACAACCTCTTAAATTAAGAAAAGCTGTTATTCGAATATTTGTAAACTAGTCACTCTGAGGTAAAGAATGTGATATACCTGATGTCATTGAACCTAGAGAGGGACAGATTTAGATTTGTTTCATTTCAGGGTCTCTGCACCTAAGCATTCGTGTTACACTTACTAGAGACTATATCAAACCATGCAAGAAAATATTTCCCTTTTGAGGGATAAATGACAAAATTGCTTAAGAATAGTCTTCTGCAAATAAGATGTAAAAAAGTTTTTATAAATGTATCAGGTTTTCTTTTCACTGAAAGTAATGCAGAAATAGAATAACAATGTAAACATGTTAATGGTCTTCTTTGTCCATGACAAAATAAAGTGTATTGTTCATAGAGAACTTATTCATTCATAATTACTTCTGTCAAATACATCGTAAACTTCAAACTATATTGAATGAGACTTAGCAGTGTTACCATATGGAGGTCCAGAACTCTCAAAGTAACACTACTGTGATTGATAATTGTAGTTAACATAACTAATTGGTAAATATAAATGCATACAACATGTAACTTAAAGTATTGGTGAGAAATGGAATACCCCTATATATATAAAACCATCAGTTCCGATATGTATGATCCTTTTTTTCACAGTTTTCGTTTTATTTTGCAATGCTCAAATATAATCTTTAGAGAGCCCAAATTAGTCTGCTAACAAACCAGTGGGAAACATTGAAACAAGCAGGTCAGCCCTGTGCATTCCCGATCTAAGAACTGTTTAATCGTGTGTCATATAAATAAGCAAGATCAATAAAGGATCCCTCTTAATTGGAGCTAATCTAGGAACTATTTACAACAATTGCTTCCACAAAGTGAAGATAAGTATCAAAGGATTAATTTACCTGGTTAATATTTTTGGTATTTAATCGGTGATAAAGTATCTTATGCGTGACATTTTCTATGATATTTACAATACAAAATGATTAATAATTAAATTAATGTATGGGTCGGTCCTATGAGCTTTAGAGTGAACCATTTACATGCTCAAATCAGTTGATACACTAAAATATACCAACAAACAAGAAAAGACAAGCGATTCGTTTATTCCAAATTGTGAAGATTAGCTCCTTGAATTGTGATGAATTTCATTTGAAAACTGAAGCAAGTTATGGTTTTAAAATTGGGAAAAATGTGGCATTTGTACTAACTAATGATTTCTTTGAACTTGATTGCGCGCTGATTACAAATCCCAAATACAAGTTCACTTGTACTCGTCTAGTACTTACTTACGTCCGTTACTCCTCGTGGAGGAGCGTAAGCCACCCACCAGCATTCTCCAACAAAAACTGTCCTGTGCAACACTTTCCAGTTGTTTCCAGTGCTATTCATCCTTTTCATGGCTGATTTCAATTCTCGGCGCAGTATGTTCTTTGGTCTTCCTTTCTTACATTTTCCTTCAGGGTTCCAAGTTAGTGCTTGCCTCGTGACACAGTTTGATGATTTCCGCAATGTATGTCCTATCCACTTCCAATGTCTCTGTCTAATTTCCTCTTTAGCTAGAAGTCGGTTTGTTCATTCTGACAGTAGGCTGTTGCTGATGGTTTCCAGTCACCGGACACTGAGTATCTTATGTAGACAATCGTTTATAAATACTTGTACCTTTTTGATGATAGTTGTAGCAGTTCTCCACGTTTCAGCTCCATACAGTAGGACTGTCTTAACGTTCGTATTGAAGATTCTGATTTTGATATTGGTTGACAGTTGTTTTTGGTCCAATATGTCCTTAAATTGTTGAAATGCTGTCCTCGCTACGCCAACACTTGCCATTAACGTCTGTATCAGACCCTTCTTATTCAACGATTATGCTGCGCAGATACATGAAACTTTCCACCTCTTCCAGAGTTTTTACATAAAGTGTGATTAGGTTGGTGCTCTATGAGCTGATTTAGGGGTCTTACTTTTTCCCTTGTGTATGTTGAGGTCTTCTGATGCAAATGCCCCTGCTACACTGTTTTTTTCCACATGCATTTGTTTATGTGTATAGGATAGAATAACTAAATCATTCGCAAAGTTCAAATCGTTTAGTTTCATCCAAGTTGTTCATTCTATTGTATGCTTCCTCTCAAATGTGAAGGTTTCATAATCCAGTCAACCACGAGAAGAAAAAGGAAGGAGGAGAGTAATCAACCTTTTCTGACAACGGTCCTCACTTGGAATGCGTCTGTCTGCTGTCCTTCATGCACTACTTTGCAATATAGTTCGTCGTATGAATTCCGTGTCATGTTGACGACTTTTCAAGGTACACAATACTGTCCAAGAAAGTTCCATAAGGTTCTCCTATCCACCCTATCAAGTGCCTTCCTAAAGTCCATGAAGTTGATATATAGTGACGAGTTGAACGATCATCCGTAGTGTACGATTGATCCTTACGGAATCCAACCTGTTGATCTCAAAGTTTGGCGTCTCCCAAGTTTTTCATCAGGTTCATCAACATTCTGTTGAAAACCTTTCCTGGTACTGACAGTAGTGTGATGCCTCTGTAGTTCAGATCCTCTTTCTTTCGTATTCTGATGAGGTGTCCTTCTCTCTAGTCCATCGGCACTTGTTCCCCCTCCCAAACCTCCCTGAATATAACGTGAAACATACTTGCAGTTACTTCTTCTTGACTTTAAGTCTTCAGCTGGTATATCATCAGGTCCTGATGCTTTCCCACTCTTGATTTGTCTGATGGCCTTCCTGATTTCTTCGATCGTTGATGCAGTGACATCTATGGGAAGGTCCTTAGATGGTCCTTCGATGTCCGGTGGATTAAATGAAGCTGGTCTATCCAAGAGTTCCTCGAAGTATTCTACCCATCTGTTCCTCTGTTCTTGAATCTCGGTGATTGTCTTGCCTTCTTTATCCTTGACGAGTCTTTCTGTCTTACTATATTTCCCTGATAGTTTCTTCGTTGTGTCACATAGTCGTTTGGTATTTCCTTTTCTTGTAGCTTTTCCCGCTGTCCTTGCTAGCTCTTCCACGTATTTCTACTTATGGGCTTTTATGTTTCTCTCCACTTGTTTGTTTGCTTCGGTGTGTTCAGCTTGTGACTTAACTTTCTCCATTTCTGTCCGACTGTTATTAATTTCTGTCCTCTTGTTCTTCCTTTCTTGAATCTCTGGGGTTTCAATAGAGATCCACTCCTTATGATGATGCTTCTTGTGGCCCAGCACTTTCTGACACAGCAACCACCGGGTGGTGATCTGAAGCTATGTCAGCTCCTCTCCTGGCTTTTACATTTTTCACTGACCTTGGGAATTTTGTATTGATACAAATATGGTTTGATTCTCTATAGTGTGGTCCAGTGAGACCAATGTAGCTTTTTGTATGCGTTTGTGAGGGAAAATAGTGTCACCTATAGCCATTTTGTTGAATGCTCAAAATTCTGAAAACCTTTCAAAATTCTCGTTCTATTCTCTCAGTCAATACCGTTCTATAATATCTCCATATCCGGTGTTGTCCAGTTCGACTTTGGCTTTTAGGTCTCCCATCAGAATAGTCAGGTTCCATACTGAGCACCTCGCTGTGATTGATTGCAGCCTCTCGTAAAATTGATCTTTAACGTCATAATTGCTATCATTGGTTGGTGCATAACACTGGATAGCATTGATTGTGATCCCCTCCTTTTTTGTTTTGAAAGATGCTTTGATGACCCTATGTCCATGAGATTCCCGTCCTGCAAGTATTTTCCGTGCTTCTTTGGATAGCATCAGAGCAACTCCCTGAGTGTGTGAAGCATTTTCCTCTTTATGACCAGAGTACAGGAGCGTCTCTTCCGTATCTAACCCTTTCTGCTCAGCCTGGGTCAAATGAATTTCACTTATTTTGAGCACTATCAAGTTTTATTTCCTCATTTCTATAGCTATTTGACTGGTCCTCCAGGTCTCTCCATGCGCTTTAGTGACCCGATATCTGACTCCATTTGGATAGTATGCTGATTGCTATTAAAATACACACGTCGTCTATTCTCCTATGTTTCATCGAATCACGTTCGTGAATAACGGAATTAAATCAGGCGAATATGAGAATGAATTTTTGAATACATATGTTTTGTACGCTCACTGATCTGGACAGGAAATGAGAAGGATGAAGCAAATAGAAGAGAGCAAAGCGAAATGACACGCGATGGAGAAGACATGTGAGCCAACTCTACGGCTTCGTCAGCTTTCAGCTGAGGAGGAAATTAGGAGAAGACGTTGGAAGTGGATAGGACATACATTAAGAAAGTCACTAAACTACATCACAAGGCAATCCCCTAATCCGGAAGGGAAGCAGAAAAGAGGAAGGTCAAAGAACACATTACGCTAGGAAATAAAAGCAGATATGAAAAGGATAAATAACAACTGAAAAGAATTGGAAAGAAAGGCCCAGGACAGAGTTGGATGGAGAATGCTGGTGGGCGGCCTATGCTCCTCAACGAGGGGTAACAGGTGTAAGTAAGTAAGTAGTTTTAGCATGATTGTTTACTACGGAACAGGGTTGCGGACCTCACCTCCAACCCTCCTCCTTTGCCTGAGCTTTGAACCGGCAGTAACCCTAGAAGAGCAAATCTAGTCTTATGTGCCTTAAATTGCACTATTCTAAGAATTCTTAGCACATTCACTCGAATACTTATTATTACCTTAGAAAACCAAAATTCTAACCTCTCGATTGTACAGAACATTTTTTAGCAACTCATGCATATGTTAAAAACAGTGTGAGAAAAGCCATCGTATTGTTTTTAACAAGCCACCCCTGCAATGTCCACTCTTATCAGTATCGTTTTACTCAGTATCAAAACCGTATAAATATGGCAATGGAAAGTGATTTCACTAGGTATAATATATTTGTAAAATCTCAGCGAATGAATTTAAAGTGAATCCAACGTTTTGCCTGGCAATCTGTGAAACCATTCACTCTAATTTCGACGAAAGTTCTTATATATGAAAGTGATTTCACTATAAAGTAAGTAAAATGTCAACGGATAGGCCAAGTTAAATAGACATTTTCATGGAGGTGGCACATAAATAAGAACAGGTAGCGAAGACATCTTCAAACTTCCTTAGAATGAAGCGATTAATTCTGTTCACAATGCTAAATATAGAAATAAAATGTGATTGTGTAGGAAAACAGGGGTAACTACAACAGACAACTTGTTGAGGGTTTTTCCTATTTTACCGCACACAACTACAGAAACAGATACTTGACTCTGGGTATACAGATAAACATTTTAACCTCAAACGAAACCAATTTATGAAGAAAATAGTCTGTTTGGATTATTACACTTCCTTAAAAGAATTGCAGTAAGAAAATCTGTTTAGCTTAGTTCTAAGAAGCCTGCAAGCACCCTGTTCAATAAAAATGAGTACATGAAACTATCCACCAAGAGTTTATATGGAGTATTTCTCATGATCAGGTACTTAGTTGGCAATCATAACCATGGATTATTAATTGGTGAATTTGAACAACACAAGGTTATAATTCAAAAAATGCTTAACTACTATACCGATTGATTATTTATTTGGAACTGAACAGTTATGTAAAGACGGACTTAAAATCCAGACAATAGCTTTCGAATAAGGCATTAGGAGGATCACCTGAGTAAACCATAACAAAAATCCTTCTCGATTTGTGTAACAATGCCACGGTATACACAGTGTGAGAATGAAGTCCTGACAAGGCTTGTTTCCGACGTCACAAACAAGCTTTTTACGCGACCAGCCCTTACAGCGTCTTTAAACTCAGTTGAAGATATTTTCAGTTTAGAACTGATCTATTCTTTGGTATATTCTACTAAGAAATGTATTTAAGGTTACCGTAGATGTAAGCGAACGCGCTTATCTATACAAAATATTTTTTTTCATTTTATGCGACAACTGCTTACGAAGAATCTTCTACAAACTTGCGTTAACTCATAAACTCCTGTCAGCTAATACCAAAGTAACGTTCATAAACGCTGAACTGGCATAATAAAGAATTTACACGGCGAAGTGTTTATTCAGAGCTTGAAAAGAGTAAACTTTGCGCTGAAGAATAAGACAGGAGTCACTGCATCTTTACATGATGAAAACATCACACAGAGCTTAGTCCAGTGTACTCATATGACTTCACGCCCTGATATACTTGTTAAAAAATTCTTTTAAGTTTCACGAGAAGCAATTTATTACTGCCTTAGCCATTCAAACAACTGATTCGATGATTTATCAATTATATGATCTTAAAAAGGCAATAGATTATAAATCGACCTAAATCAAATTAAACGTAAACATTTAAGAAGGGACCGAATACGAATTCATCCATGAAGTTGATTGTTTTTAATGCGGTGGCTGGATTTAAAACTTTAATTACCTGAATTGCGAGTTGAAAAACTGTCTAGGTAGCGCTGAAGAATCAAATATTTCTTGTGCGACTCTTTGGAATTCTTGATGTACATGCCTGATCGCTCTTTCATGTGCCATGAGTGCCCGACTGAAGTGATTATCACTCATAATCGAATTCGAAAAGAAGTTTCCCGGTAAAAAGCTTGAAAACAAGTCATCTCCAAACATTGTCCTTATTGATCAATTTTAAACCACGCGGACGTATCCAGTAGCAGTTAATAATCAAAATGAAGACACTAAAGAAAGATAGTGATTTGAATACCAACGTTTTTTCCGTACGCTTACGTTTTCATAGTGGAAGATTATCGGTTATGAAGACAGTAAAGAATGAGTTCTGAGAAAAGACATAAGGACCTAAAGGTACTTAGTGACAAAAATATTTGAAAAACTAGTGATAAAACCTTAAGTTACTTTTATTGATTCAATTAAGGGAATAGGAGGCTAAGAGTACGTTTTTTGACACATTGTTCATTGGTTTTCCACAGTTTATTGCCGAACATTTGCTACATGATTTTAACGTATTAGTGTATTTTTCTTTGTGAAAACGTTGGTTTATTGACATTAGAATCACATATTTTACAAGATGATATGATTTCAAACTGTCAGTTTTAAGCTAGTTAGCTGACGACAGTCCAGTGAAGACAAAGTTAGTTAGTTAGTTGGCATAAAGTCCAGAATTTTATCATCTCTTGTTGTTTTCTTAGGGTAGTTTTTGTTAGTAACCAATCCATTAGGTCTGAAAAGAAGTTCTAAGAAAGTGAATTGGAGAGACTTGTCGTAGGCGTGCATTTTTTCCCTCATGTGGGATCGGAATTTCATAAAGTGACCTTTGATGATGCGAAATTTCAAATCTTCGTTAAATGGAATGTCTTGAATGTTCTGGAATCGTTTTGAAGCAAACTAGAATCGTCTTTGATTTTCATGGAAGAACGGATGGTTGGTTCATAAGAAACCATAAATTTAGTTGACCTAGTTTCCTCTTGAAGATCTTTAAATGAAATCAGAGAAGGTAGTGTTCCTTTGATGTTTGAAAGATCATAAATGTTTGGGGCTTTTCTCGTTGTCTGTAACGCCTTTATAATCGAGAATCACAGACAAAATTGAGCCGGAATACAGGAATGAAGTCTTTTGTCGCACGCCTGATATCGATGTCCTCCAGTTTGGAAGAGTTCCGCTTAGTGAGTAACATTTGGTTCTGCTAATAATTTTGAAGCCAGAGTAGGATTATAAACGATCTTTGGAATCCTACTTATAGCATATGCGGCACAACATCAAATGTCTCTGAAAGCCAAGTAAGTACACCTGTTCTGATATTTTGTTGTCTCGGTAGTTTGTCCAAATGTTTATCCGTTTAACTGTTATTCTTACAGTTGTTCATTTGTTTTGTTGGTATAATCAACCCATTTACTTCCTTTCTTTTCTCCTCTGCATTTCAACTACATAGTTTTTTATTGGATGTTATAACACCTCTGCACGACAATGTGACATCTACTGGTTCTACGAAATCTACTCTCACGGAACAAATACACCAAATTAAGTTCCAGAATTCGCTCGCCTATAAATAACAATCGAATTCACCTATAATAGCGCACGTGAGCGGGCAAACTACCCGGAAGCTTTTTACCTTAATATCGATTCCACTATAGTTATTTATGCATATTTACTCCTACATAGTTTTTTCAAATGTTCATTTTTATTATCAATCATTATCATCTGAAAATTTATTGCATTGAGTCCTCTAAAGTAGGACACTTATCCACATACTGCTTGGAGATAGTAAATGAAGTGTTTAAATATGTTTAGTGACCGTGTTTAAGATAGCAAAAGTGAGACTGTATTAGACTATCCATACATGCACGAGTAACTTAATATTTCTGTTCATCTCATAGTTGACCAGATGAGCTTGAATCTATAACTCAGTATCCCTGTTCACTATATGTAAAGGCATTTTGTCTGAGTTATACAGGTTTTCACTTCGATGTTTCCCATGTCAACCATAACATCTTGTTATCCTCTGTGATTTGCGTTTCGATAATTTGTATCAAAAAATTTGTCACCAAGTGTTAAATCATGTTGTTCTACTTAATTTACTCACAGTGCCATTCTCTATCACATCTATTCAGAAGATGAAACCTTGGTACTAAACATTATAGATATTTATTTTCTGACTAAATATTTTTGGCCCTTGACAGAATCGTATATTTTCATTGACCAAACCTTGTACATAATTAGATCGATCATGATTTGTTTCAAGGGCGCTGGGTCTGCAGATCAAGTGTTTGTTAAAGAAACCATGGATAACCCCTATGGTTAAATGTCCGAGTTACAAATCACAAGATGAACATATTTATAGACGATTGGATAGTGAGTAATAATAGAAGAATGAAATACCCAAACATATGAAAAAAGAAATGCATACAGCTGATCTAGAGTAAGTTTCGGGATAACAAGGATACACTTATTTGACACGTATTATTAGTCTTTCGTGATAGCATATGTCCGTATAAGTATTTGGCTGAAAAGGACTTGCTGTGACGTTTTTCAGACGTCACAACAAAAATTTTATGAGTTACTGTGATGTTTGCATGAACTAATGATACTTCCATACTTGATGTCTGTTTGATTTCGAATTTTAAATACAATAGGTTTGATACTGCTCACTTAGATTTATTTCGTTTAAAATGCGCTATTTCGGAGATTCTAAGTTTAATAACAGTTCAAATACTTTTAAATATCACATTGATTTCATGATGGAGCCTGTGATGGAACAGTTGGACATGCATTTAAGTTATGAATCTTTCGAAGATCACATAAAAAGGTTCGAAATTTGGAGCATGACGAAAAAATTATTAATTTATTGCGTCGTTTAATCAAGATTATTAAGGTGAATTCAAATAAATGTTCATTATGTCTATATAGTTCCTAATGTCTTGGATACCCAGTTGATGGTAAAGCTTTTAGACTAGATATGAAACAACTGGCACCACTGACAAATGCCCTATCTCCGAAAATCTTTACTGCACTACGTTCACTAGTGGGTGCTCTCCAAAAGTATTTCCATTTTATTCCCAATTCGTCTTGTCGTCCCGATTGTTTATTTAATATTTTGGCATCCAATTCAATCAAATGGGGTGAGAAACGAGAGCCATGCTGACGGAGTCTACTAAATTTTCTTTAGAGCGATGCTGTTTTCCAAAATTACTGCCTAGTTGTGCATGTTGTACTTATTACAGATACATAACCTGTGGGTATTATTACAGTTTCAGATCAGTGAGGCAGACCAGTAATCTTTGTTTTATACAAACGTACTCTTACTGAACAAGGTTATTCAAAACTCGGGCTGTTAAAAGAGTTTATAAATATTTATTCAGAAAGAGATTCATTATTGTTACTGGTCGTGAAGCCTTAAAGTTCATTTATTCTCTTAAGAAAATCCTTAGCGCGCCCTTCAGCTTCTATAGTTCAACGATGAAGTATCTCTTTCAGTGCCTATGACTATACGGTTCAGCAAAGGAGTGACAAACAATTTCAACACGTTGGCTAAATTTCTTGACATTCATTGCAAGATAAACCTGTTAATACTTCAGACTGTTTGTTAGTGCAACCTTTTCTGGTGAGACAAAAAGATTTCATTAGAGAAACTCGTAGATACTTTGGACATGTACTCAGCGTTATACGAAAAGTTTTGAATGCTAATCTGAAACGTAGACTTCCTGTCTATTTTCCATAGCTAGATGTGTTATCCACTACTCCTGATGGTATTTTGTGTCTAACTGATCGTCTTGTTATTCCCCCTTCATTACATAAATCTATCGTTGAAAATCTTCATAGTGGAGATTTAGGTGTTGAGAATACGAAGTTATTGGCAAGGCTAACATGTTGGTGGCCGGATATAAATGAAGATATATGTCGTACAGCAAACAATTGTGGAAAATGGCATAAATTGAATAGTCGGTCTTCGAAGTGCTCTCCATGACCAGTATCGTCTGAGGCCTGTCAGGGAATTCATGCAGATTATTATGGTCCACTTCTTAGCAAATACAATGTACTTCTGGTTATTGATTCTTTCTCGGAGTGGCCTATAGTCAATTTCACAACTTTACCAAATTCTAACTTCACAATCCAAGCATTAAAGAAGGTGTTTAGTTGAAGAGGGACTCCCATGCTGTTACTGATCGTGGCTTTCATTTTGCTGCGGGTGCAGTCGCTACCTGGTTGAATGGTATAGGGTGCAAACATCTATTTACTGCTCCTAGACACCGTTGTTCCAATGGTCATGCAGAAAATTTTGTCAGGACATTGAAAACTGTTATTGATTCTATTGCTGCTTCAACATATAAGGAACTGGAGAGCGGAGTAGATAAATTTCTACTTCAATATAAAAATGCTAAACAGTCTGTGACGAAAGAGAGTCCATCTAAGCTATTAAAGGGAAGGATTCTTCGTTCGAATGTGAGTTGTTTAGAGTCTGTAGAATTTACATATTATCGTGGAAATGATCTTCGACAGCCACGGGGATTGTGGTGAAGAATGTTGGAAAATCTATGGTGCGAATTCTAGATATCCGTGATTTAGGTATATATAACCGACATGTTGATCAAATACAATTCCAGGAACAAGGTAAGCCTGTTCCAATTTCGGTTGTCAATTCTGATACTAATGGGTACATTCGTGACAATACAGAATTTAAATTCAATACACTGTTGGACATACACAGGATGAACCTTAGGAGAAGACGTACAATCAAATACAGAAACTTGAAAGTCAATTTAAGTTGTGGCTTATGTGGTGTTTGTATGAACCAGTGATTCCTTTGCATTTGATGACTGCTTGATATTGAATTCCAAATATATTACGTTCGTTTGTGCTCACTTAGTTGTGTTTGGTTTAAATTGCGCTATTTCGGGCATTCCAATTTGAATAATAGTTCAAATACTTCTAAATATCACAGTTACGTGTATTGTTGTGTTGTGTCTATTAAGAACGTTGGTAGTAAAATAAATGTTTAAATCGATATAATATCTTACCATCAGAGTACTGAACAAAAATCAAACATTTATACTGTAGTGTAACACCAAAAACTGGTAAGCTTTTCAATAATTTTTGAATTTACATAAAGTAAAATAATTGAAACTACCGAAAATTCAGTATTTAGTCTGAACTCAGAGATAACGAACCGGTTTATTAAAGTAGACCAAACTACTTTCTTCTGTATGAAGTACGAAACATTTTTCAATGACTCGTAATAAATTATATCACAAACACTCCGGGCTCAATTTAAACGGTTCTAATTTAAGGAAGAAAACAGAATGTATCGAAAGTACAGAAAATCTCGAACGGTATAGCCTATGCTAAACAGTCAAATGTATTACTAGCACAAAATAACGAGCTAAACAGATGAAAGAATGTCTGATAAATAATTGTTCGGTATCTGAGAATCAATGAAAGAATTTCCGACAAGATCGGATCAAATATCTATTTGAAAGGATTCGAGTGACTGTTCCCAGATGACAATCAAAGGTCAACAATCATTGATTGGATCACGTCGTAACTTCACCCCCATAGTCAATGATCCGGCAACACACAACGGTAAAATAAATTTAAAGACGTAAATCTTTAGCCAAAGTCGAATAATAAGTGTCCAAACAAA